GTATGAAACAGAGAAAAGGTGGATGTAGTGAGTGTAGAAGAAAGGGAACATGCCTTAGTGTTAGAGAGACCAAAGTCAGCTTTACATTAACTAATTTACTTTCAGCCAGTCCACATAAGTTTTTTTTTCCCATACATCCCTCTTAAGTTTCCATACTTAAGCAAGAGTATGTGAACAGTAGTAAGGGTTGCCACCTTGGAAAAAAATACCGGCCTTACTAATTTGCATAACTAATTATGTATGTGTGACATCACATGATGTAAATCACAAGGAGTGACATAAGAGAAAATTCTGTGAAATCACCAAAAAAATACTTTTGTAGTTTGATTCTGCTGTATAGATGGATTGCTCCCAGTGTCTCCCTGTCTCCCAGTGTCCCCATGTCACCCAGTGTCCCTATGTCTCCCAGTATCCCCATGTCACTAGGGGACGATGTGAGACATGGGAACACAGACACTTGAGGACATTGGGAGATTTAGGGACACTGAGACTATGTATCACAGTGTCCCTATGTATCACAGTGTCTCTGTGCCTCATGTTGCCCAGTGTGCCTATTTCGCCCACTGTCCCCTAGGGGACACTGAGAGACATGGGGATACTGGGAGACATGGAAACACTGAGACACTGGGAGAAATGGGGACACTGAGACACCAGGGAAACTGGCTGGGAGACATGGGGACACTGAGACACTTGGGGACATTGTGTCCCTTGTGTCTCCATGTCTCAGTGTTCCCATGTGTGTCTGTTTCCCCATATCTCAGTGTCCCCATGTGTGTCTGAGTCCCCATGTCTCCCAGTGTCCCGTAGTGTCTCAGTGTTCCCAGGTCTCAGTGTCCCCTAGTGTCTCTGTGTCCCTATGTCTCAGTGTCCCCAAGTGTCCCCAAGTGTGTCTGTGTCCCTATGTCTCAATGTCCCCATGTGTGCCTGTGTCCCTGTGTCTCCAAGTTTCCCCCAGTGTCTCCGCATTCCCAGAGGTCTCCCTGTGTCCCCATGTTTCACAGTGTCCCCTTGTGACTCAGTGTCCCCATGTCTCAATGTTCCCATGTTTCCCTGCAGCCTTTACCCAATTCCTCTCTTCCCTGAGCCGTAGGCTGTTTCTGCAGGCTGTGAGCTGCTGTCTGGACTCTCTGTGCTGTGTAGCTCCCCCAGCGGATCAGTGAGTAGAGAGACATATATAGACGTATATGCTGTAACTTCCTATCCCTGCCTCTCTCCACACACACAGTGACCCCTACTGGCCGGTGATGGTATTGCAGAGTAATCTCTGTTTATACTGAGAAAAATACCAGCATTTGTATTGCCGGTATTATTGCAATATCAGCACCAGCCAGGCAGCTTTAAATAAGTACCGGCCAGCTGGCAACCCAAAGAGCAGTGTGTAAAAAAAAAATAAAAAAATAAAAAATTACATTTTTAAAATCAATGGGCCCATTCCATGGGCCTATTCCATGGGCCTGGAGCTGCAGCTCCATCAGCCCCTATGTTAATCAGGCTCTACACTTGGGTACCTCCATACTTGGGCATACTGCCCCTTCAACTAAAGCCAACATAAAGGCCATGCTACACGAGATCAGGGCTATGTTCTAGTAGGACATGGCCTTAGTGAGGGAGAAAATGGTCACTCTTACTAGCCAAATAGTTCCAGTGGAGGAAGACTTGTGGAGTATATGGGTGGCTCAGATGGCTACTGATATGGCCCTTAGCTCGTTGGAAGACATCCCTCTGTGTCTGCACATTCTTTTTGTTCCATACTTTGTTAGTGCACATAATTATAATTTGATGTTGTTTCGGATATTATATTGTCCTGCTAGAAGAATCTATGTATCTCAAAACAAATTAAATTTAAAGAAACAGGTGATTCTGTGAATTTGCTTATTCCATGGTATGGTCTGAGTATTTACAGCAAATCTACCTATTAAATAGGAACTTCAGTTTGTGGTTTCAGTGTTTCTCTCTGGGCGTATTTACACTCGCACAGAGGGTTTATTTCCTGCCTTTACAGCTGAGAATTTTGGTGTAATCTTGCCGCTATATGTTTTTTTTTTGTGTTGTTTTGCTCCTTTAGGTTTTTATTCTAATAAAAGAGGTGAAGCATCATAAAACAATAACAAGTAATAGAATGTAAAAAAGGAAACGATGTATGAATCATAAATTAATATCTGTAAACAAAAGGCAGCGTGTCTCATCTCCTTCCCTCCTACACACACTTAGTACAACATCAATGTATCTTAATAAGTAAAAGAATATGTAGCAAAGTTTTCCATTTTACTGATTGAGAGATTAACTTTTTGTGCGTTATTGAATATAATTATACAATAGATGAATATAATCCTCTAATCCAATTGAAGTAATCATTCATTCAGCAGACGGTGTCGAGGTGACTGGAAAACTGTCACGGTGCTGCCTGGTCTTTTGTGCTCAATATTTTAAATAACTGTAAAGTTTCATTTGTTGGTATTAAAAGGACTACTATAGGCACCCAGACCAATTCAGCTCAATGAAGTTGTCTGGGTGCCAGGTCCATCTAGGGTTAACCCTGCAGCTGAAAACATAGCAGTTTCAGAGACACTGCTATGTTTACACTGCAGGGTTAATCCAGCCTCTAGTGCAAGCATGTCCAACTCAAAGTCAGGCACAGGCAAAGTAAACAAGGTTTACGTTTATGTGGTCCGCAAAAAAACCCAAAAAACCTAAAGTTTCATAGAAACGTGGGTTTATTGTGAAAAGTACAGTATATAAAAAAAACAGCATCCCCCTCTACTAAATCTGAGTCCCCACCTCTATTAAATCCCATTCCCCCCTCTATTAAATCCCAGCACCACCTCTACTAAATCCCAGCACCCCCTCTACTAAATCCCAGCACCCCGTTTATTAAATCCCAGTCCCCCCATATTCTAAATCCCAGCACCCCCCTCTACTAAACACCAGTCCCCCATATACTAAATCCCAGGAGTGACACAGTGAAAAAATATTTTCCTATCTGGGTCATCAATATAAATATTTTCAATTTTTTCAGAAAACAGTTCCTTCGACCGCCTTAAACATTGCATCCCATGCCTTCAACATTGTCCTGGTAGTAGGAAGCATCTCTCTAATTTTAGGATGTAAGTTGCGAAGTAGCCATAGAATTTCCCTAATTAAGTGTGGAAGCACCTTTGCCTTTTCGATCAATAACCACTGGGGCAGGTTTTTAGTGAAATTAAATTTGAAGGCCTGTGCTGCATTCCCAGCAAAATAATAATTTCTAAAATTAGGTACAACTAAACCACAATTTACTCAGAGATTCTGCAAAATCGACAATTTGAGCCAAATGGAATTGCTAACCAAATATACCCTATCATAGCTGAATTATTTTTTTCAAAATAAAGATAGCGGGATGGACAGAGGTATGGGTCATAAAAAGTACAACATTTTCAGGAGAATATTCATTTTTAAAGAACTTATTCTACCTAGCCAGGAAACTAATATACCTTTCCATCTATCCATCGCCCTCTGAAGATCCGGCCAAACTTTTGCCAGATAACATTTGTGCATGTTCAACAGGTTTTTGGTCAGATTAATGCCCAAATACGCAACATGTAAGTCCCTCCACTCAAAATTTAAGGAATCCCTCAGATTATCTAGGACAGGCAATTTACCATAAAAAGGCAAAGCTTGTGTTTAGCATATGCATCACTGAATTAAAAGAGGCATTTGGATTTCTCAAAGACAGAATGATATCATCAGCGAAAAGTCCAATCTTGTGACTAACATCACTGATTTTAACGCCCTCTATCATTGGATCATTACTAATCAGTTCAGCCAGGGTTTTTTTCACCAACATAGAGGAGACGCTGGACAACCGTGTCATGTTCCATCGGTAAGAGGAAAACTTTGCTATATGAAACCCATGGGCGAAACTCTAGCAGTGGGGTAAAAGTATAATGCAAATATTGCATCCACAAACGGTGTCTAAAAAGCCAAATCTAATTAAAATTTTCCTTAATTACTCCCAATGTATTCTATCAGACCTTCTCCACATCCAAAGATAGGAGCAGAGAATAATTTGAAAGGGGGTTTGTAACTGAGTAAACTTGCAGAAGCCAGACACAGAGAGGTGGATGCAGGTTTTCAGGAAGTAAGAGATCTTTATTAACATACCGATCGGGCCTCAGATGAACTAACGTTCCAAAACAGGTCTGAGGGCCGAACACATGGAGTACATGCTTTTTATAGAACTATAACTCCTCCCATTAATAGCTTCACCCGCACATACCCTTAACCAATCAGTGGACAAGATTTGGATTTCCTCATATGGGCAGACCACATGGCTCATCCAAAGGAGAAAGGAGTGTGATTTCAGTTCCTGCATTCCTGCACATGCTCAGTACATTGATGACAGTATCTTAGCTACGTGTAACTAACTGATACAACATATGGAAATCTCGGCCTACTAAATTTACATTTCACCGAAATTCCATCACAGTTTGACAAACTGAGGAACCCCTGGTGCCTCAGCTGAAGTTATGTCAATGAATGATGTCCAAATATGATCAATTTTGACACATAATCGTCTGACAGCATTAGGGGTATGATGGCACCATAACCACTACAATAGATTAATTTAACCCTGGCTGTCGTATCCCTGTATTAATCATCTCACCCATCTCCTATCATCCTGTATGGAATGAGTCTGTAATCCCCATTCATCCCAAACCTTTGCAGAATCTCCTGAGACTAAATAGTTTTTTTTTCTACTTGTTAATTTGTACACCTTATTCTGAGCAAGTACAGACAATTACAGTTTAATTATTTTGATAATCATTACATCTCTAAATAGTCATAGCAGTGCTTAAATAATGTTAAGAGTGTATGATTTATATTGATAGGTAAAACATGAAAATATTAATAAAAAGCCGATTTGATTATAAATCAGATGATGTAAATAAACTATGAGAACATGTTTATTACAGTATAAATCAATGTGCAGTGCTACCATCTTGACACTGTATCAGAGCTGCCAGTAACATGGAGGAAGCAGCCCCACAAGTCTCTGCTTCCGCTGATAGAAAGGAAATGGTGGGAGGAGATTGATACAAAGTGTCACCCTGTGCAGCCATGGAGCTGCTGTGTGTGCTGGGAGCTCTGTGTGTTCTATACTTTGTGTTCCAGCTAATCAGGTTCCTCAGGGCTGATGCAGACCTGACCCTCCTGTGGGCTGAGCTCCTTGGACACTCTCCAGGTCAGTTCCAATCATCTCACTATTGATTTCTGTTCAGACAGCCACAGAGTGCACAGTTCCTAACTAACCCTGATCCTCAGATATTGGAAAACTCCAACTCTCAAAATGCTGTGCCAGGTTTCAGAGTGGGGAAGCTTCATTGCTGTTGTAGTTCTGGGCTCTGCCTGTTAGCCATGGCTCGGCATGATGGGAGTTGGGAGTGTGGGAGCCTGCCTGACCTTGCACGTGTATTAGTGGAGTCTAAACGTTGTCCCTCACGTGACAGCTCTTTTTCACCACATCTTGAGTGACATAAAAATCGAAGGCAGTCTCCGGTACTTCCATGGACTCTAACTCCTAAGTTGCTCAGCCAGGCAGTTTGTTAGTAGCGCTCACTGTGGAAACAGTTACTTCCCTGGGTTTTTAATATTCTGTTTATGTGCCCCTGATATTAAAACTATTATTATGTAATATATACAACTATTAATTTATATTATTATATTAAAAATGTATTTTTGGTGGTGTTAAAAATAAACTTAAAGGAACACTCCTGCTCCGTGACCACTTTTATCTCAATGAAGTTGTTATGGTGGCAGTAGTGTGTGGGTGTTGTCGTACATTCAGGGGTTAAACAGTTTTGCAACTAATTAACGTTGTAGTTGGTACGCTGCGGCTGATGGTTCTGCTTCTTCCTTCCTCTTGCCCACTGTCTACTCCAGGAAAGTTTACCTGTCAGCTTGCAATAGAATCAACTGGTGGTAATAGTACATTGGACAAAGGTTTAAAGGGACACTAAACATGTATTCCTGACGCTATAGTCCTGGTATGGCTGTTTAGGTCCCCAAACCCAGATTTTGGCATTTTACAAACTTGATAATCTCCTCAATCCAATTCTTTTCCTTAAAAGACGCATTGAGAGGTTATTGTGCATACGCGGTGAAATCATCATCTCTTCATAGAGATGCACTGAATCAATGCTTCTCTATGGGGAATGTTCAGAATCTACATGCAGAGCGTGGAGACGCTGAACACACTGCTCCAGGTGGCCTCTCTAGTGGCCGTCTGAGTGATGGCACCAATGTAAACGCTGCTTTTTCATTTACATTTAAAAGCCTGCAGAGAAAGGACATTAAGCTGTTGTAATTTTGGTGACTATAGTGTCCCTTTAAGCCTTGAAGGCAAGGTGCTTCCATAACAATTTCATTGGGCTAAAGACTGTCTGCCGGAAGAAAATGGTGGCTGCCAGAAGAGACAGCTACTGGTAATTAGAAGTACCTTTTACTGCACCCTGTGCAGACATGTCACCATTGGGGTCTTTGCAAAATCTGCATCGACCCTCCATAGCGATTGCTCTGCTCAAATATAAAATTTAAAATGGAGCTTGTCATGAAGTCAAGGGTCACACAGGTAATGTTCACTGTTTTATTCAATAAGTGTAAATTCTACAGAAGAAGGCATCAGGGACACAAATCTCCATTTAAAACCCCAACAATCTGGCACTAGAGATGAATGTTCTCATTTATAATGTCTATTTATTTTACAGAGAGCAAACTGTCTGGAAATGTGGTCTGGGTGACGGGCGCTTCCAGTGGGATCGGGGAAGAGTTATCATATCAATTGGCCAAACTGGGGTCACGCCTGGTCCTGTCCGCAAGACGAGAGAATGAATTGCTAAAGGTGAAGCAAAAATGTTTAGGTAAGAGAAATGTACTTTTATTAATGAATGAAACAGAAATACTGTGTTTAAAGTTCGCTGTCACCTTTCAGGTTTTCATGAAGGCAGAATCAGAAGGTATGTAGCACCCAGTAGGGACGTGTTTGTCAATGTAAACGTAAAATGTGGCATAACTGATAAAGAACTCCTCTTGTTAAAGTGCTTAATGTGTGAAGACTGTCTTTAAAGAGTTACCTGCGCACTCTCTCAAATCCCTGTGCACATTTAAATTACTAAAGGTTTGTTTTAGTATCACTCTATTAAAGTGTAAGCTCAACTGCCACGTCAAGGCAAAACCTCTTGGGTAATAAGTCCTACACTAACAAATCACCTCTCTGATTTCAGCTTAAAAGGTAAAATCTCTAATGAGACAGACAGACAGGGGTATTTTTATGAACCCCCAACACATTTACCCAGAGCTCCCGCCTTGTCCTATGTTGCAAAACTGTATTACAACTCATTAAAGGAGTCTGTGATTGGACAGCCGCAGAAAGTCTGTGCTGGGAATTAGGAGATGACTTGCAATTGCTGCAGGTACTAGATCTGCAGCTATTGAAGCCAAGATTTCATATGCCTCCAAAGAAAACTTGCTTAACAAATGACATTACATGCGTATTATCTACTACATTTTTTTTGTTTTTTTGTTAACCATGTCTATGCGGCATTGCCAGGGTCTGCACACACACTCTGCAAACATGTACGCACGTGATTACCTGGTGCTACCTTTAAAGCACCTGCTCTGCTGAGCTCCCCCACAGTCCACCCACACAGCACGGGCCGGTAGGAAGATTTAGAGATCTCCCTGCATGCTTACTCTGCAGGCTGCCCTCTGACTGAGAGCAGCTCTCTAGAAGTGCTCCTTCTCGGTCAGAGACCAGAAGCAGTCACTTCAAGGGGTCTTGTCATCCTATCACATCGCCCCTCCCCCACATATTCACCCTGTCTCATCACTCCGTTTCCACAAACTCAATCACCCTGTCATCTCCATCGCCCAAACACACGACCTGTCACATCCTTCTCTCCTCACCACATTCTTTCACCCTATAACATAACCTCCCTCCCCACACACAATTACCCTGTTACATGTCCTTTCTCCACCACACACACTCAGTCAGCCTATCGCATCACACACAAACACACAGTCACCATATCATAGACATCCCACATACTAACTGCTGACACAGCCACCCCCTTGACACATTCATCATGTCAGTCACCCCACACATAGTCAGTATGTCCATACCCTCGCACTTCCTCTTCACACACAGTCATCATGTCAGTCACCCCACACATAGTCAGTATGTCCATACCCTCGCACTTCCTCTTCACACACAGTCATCATGTCACAGTCACCCCACACATAGTCAGTATGTCCATACCCTCGCACTTCTTCTTCACACACAGTCATCATGTCACAGTCACCCCATACACAGTCAGTATGTCCATACCCTCGCACTTCCTCTTCACACACAGTCATCATGTCACAGTCACCCCATACACAGTCAGTATGTCCATACCCTCGCACTTCCTCTTCACACACAGTCATCATGTCACAGTCACCCCATACACAGTCAGTATGTCCATACCCTCGCACTTCTTCACACACAGTCATCATGTCACAGTCACCCCATACACAGTCAGTATGTCCATACCCTCGCACTTCTTCTTCACACACAGTCATCATGTCACAGTCACCCCATACACAGTCAGTATGTCCATACCCTCGCACTTCTTCTTCACACACAGTCATCATGTCACAGTCACCCCATACACAGTCAGTATGTCCATACCCTCGCACTTCCTCTTCACACACACAGTCATCATGTCACAGTCACCCCACGCAGTCAGTATGGCCATACCATCGCACTTCCTCTTCACACACAGTCATCATGTCACAGTCACCCTACGCAGTCAGTATGGCCATACCATCGCACTTCCTCTTCACACATAGTCATCATGTCACATATTGAGTAATGTTATTTATTTAAGTATCTGTTTTTTTTAATCTGTAACCTCGTTAACTGGTCAATTATTTTTTTTTAACTTTATTTTCTGTCCAGACAAAATTTCTCTTTGTTTATTTTAAATGATATGCTACATACTGAAACAAAAAAATACATTTAAACATTACTTTCCATGACACCCAAAATACTCAGATTCTGGAGGTGGGTTTTTCTGAAAATCACTTATAGTGAAGGGGTTAAAAGTAGCTTTTGCCACTACATCTTGCCATTTCCCATCAGCCATTGTGAGTGACCTGATTATCTATGGAGGATCCTGATGTCTTGTAGTTTCTTTCATAGTTCCATATGTGCAAGAGTACATCAGTGGCGTGGCTCTTGGTAGCTCTAGCCTTCAGGAGTGTTAAGATTGAGATGAAGAGCAACAATAAGGAGAGAGAACTTTAGCTAAGCGTATCTATTTATATAGTTATCTTCCTTTTTCAGGGAGTCACTATGGAATTGGAGATGTCAAATTGGGGATGAGGGGTGTGTGTAAAAAATTACAAAAACATCACAAATGACAATACTGATTTACAATGGCATTCTTGGCACCACAGCCACTGCAGGTTTATTGATATCTTGTTAAAGTCTGATACAATGTTGTGTTTTGTGAAAATGTATGTGTACACATCCACTCTGGGGGTAGGTAGGCAATTAGAGAGCAAGCCGGCCTCTCCTCTTACTCGGGGTAGTAAGTTTAGTAGTTATACAGCCATTCTAATATAGGTAACAGCATGTACAGATAATAAAAGTATGTTCATGCTTTAGAACCTATTCCCCAGCAGATAAGCTGCATTCTATTGCTTTGTACTGATCTGCTACACATACGCTATTTTTTTTCCAGAGATAAGTAACTTAGAAGATAAGGATATTCTAATTGTTCCTCTTGATCTGACCAATGCAAGCACCCACGAAGCAGCAACAGAGAACGTTCTGAAGCATTTTGGCCAAGTAAGCACTATTTCATAAAACATTTCTAGCTATGTTTAATGAGTCCAGGCAGTTGATGGAGAGACATTCATTGTTTGTAGAGTTTTAGTCGGAGAGCACCTTGCACACGTTGGACCAGCTGGCAGGAGTTCATTAACCCCCTGTCGTGTAAACCAGGTACTGAAAAATGGCTCAGCTCACCCTCACTCAGTGCTCAATGAAGTTTTAACTTTGACCTCATACAGGCAGCGTTGCGGCTCTAGCTGAACCTTTATCAAAAGTTTGAAAACTGGAGTTCCTGGAGAGATCAGAATGTAGATTTGGCTTCAGGTTGACAGACATTGAGTTGGATTATTTGCAGGAATATTGGCTATGGCTGCCCTCATCAAACTAGATAAGGCATCAGCATTTCCTTTCTTAGATCTATGGTTATAAGTAATAATATGATTAACTACTCCTCCTCCCAGCAAATACTTCCATTTCTCTGTGGCCATTTATTTTTAGCAGAGGTCTCACCATTGGCTATATCAAAGTAACATGATGGGTCAACATGGATGGTCTCAACATCTGAAACAGACACACTGTATTCAGACATAGTTCTTCCAGATTAACTGAATGACAGTGGACAAGGTTAATGTCTTTTTAGGTTTGTCAATGCAGACAGAGGAACAGTAGTCCAATTTTTCAGGTTTGCTCTTTTTTTGGGTGAGATCAGCTACAGATCCATCAGTTATAGGTCCAACAAGCCACTTGGGAACTTTTCAGACCAAGTAAGTGTGTGGCTGAGATAGATTTAGGACTGACTTTCCCACCCATCTCCAGTTCTACCTCCATGTACTTGATACATACAAGCGCTTGTGGGTAGCGAAGCATCCCGCCCTCATACACTCACCGCCAGCGATCTCGTAAGCATCTGCACATTTTTATATTATACATTGGTTTTAAAGTGTTTCAAATGTATAATAAATTTGATGTTATATGTTTACTATATACATTCTAGCTTTTGATTGAACCAGCAATATTATTTTGATATATTGCACAATCATTTGTTCCTTGTGTTTATTTTTTATGAGAACATTGGATGCACAAAGAACTACTTAAGTATACTACCTGTATTGTTACACTTGCACTTTTTGGTGTCTATAGAGGCTCATTGTTTCACTTTGTTTGCTTTCCACTTATACATCATTTTTTTTTTTTGCATCTTAAGTGTGCTGGGTTCATCTGGAGACACTGCACTTGCATGTGTATCAGCATTGTCACTTGTTGGTATATACCATATTGCATGATTTTTTTTTTTTGCACTTTGTAATGGAGATATTGCAGTTTTTTGCCCATTTTTTTTCCTCTGCTCCTTTGAATGCCTTTTTAGCGCTTTTTCCAATTCTGAATTTTTGAGCTAGATTTACATTGCTTTAGACAGGATTCATAGCAGTAAGAGGCTCCTGTCAGTTATCCCTCTATGGGCCCTCTTTGTGGCATTGTGGTGGCAAACGTTGGCAACAGAAGATCAGCTTGATGTTGTGGCATCGTTTGACCTTGAATGATAAAGTCTCTTAATGTAGAATACCCAATCAATGATATGGTATGTCTAGTACATGGGTAGGCATCTTTCAGAACTCCAGATGTTGTGGACTAAACCTCCTCTGATGATTTACCAACATTATGGCGGCAAGAATATTATGGGAGATTTCGTTCACAACATCTGGAGTGCCAAGGGTTGCCTACCTGTGTCCTAGTACACTGGTTGAACTGATTGGTATAGTTCTCTGCTTTATGCAAGTAAACCTAATTTATTCATTTTATACATTATTGACAAATGTATAAACTATACTAACCTGCAATGTGCTTCCAGGTCTGTGCAATGGATTGCACGTAGCTCCTCCCAGAATATCCAAATAGTCAAGTGCTGACAAACATTATCTTTTATTTTTTTGAGGTTTCATTCTTGGGACGTATCTTGAATTATGAATTTTATACAAATACAGCTCAAGATAAAATACCTCCAGGAGTGAGAAATGTAAACTCAAAACCACAATTTTAATAATGATATTTATTGTAGTTCTTCTTACGATCAGCCTGTTTGTTGTTGGCAGTGTGAAATCAGACTTTGTGTACAAAGCATATACATTTAAATACATGCCATCTAAATCAGGCATTCTGTAGATAGTTTACAGGCATAGTCTGAGACTGGACAATATAAATTATGGAATAAAGCACCATTAGAAGAAATAGTAAAAAAAAAAAATGTTCTAAATGTATTCACAGCCTCAGAACTTACCTCCATTCCAGTGCCTAGACAGTAGCATAGGCAGCAAGAGGGGGGAGGTGCCGCTATTGCACACTTGTCAATAAGCCTGCTGTGCGGGGATGCATAGAATTAACATTAGCCAGACAAACTCTTGTCAAAGGAAGGCTCATGACGCCCCAGTGATGCTTCTGGAGTTATAACTCAGCAGAGCGGTTAAACTATAGCTAAAGACTGTACCCGTAGACTCCAGGCACCATGGCCACTTCAAATGTGGCTGGATTTCTCCTATTATAGGCTTACTCCACTGATCTGAACAGCAATGATGATAGCTAGTTCCGTCACTCCCGTAAGGATTCAGATGAATTAAAGCAACATTAATAAGCATCAAAACAACTTTAGCTTAATGGAATGGTTTTGGTGTATAGATCATGACCCTGCAGTCCAACCATTCAATTCTCTACCATTTATGAGTTAAACCACTTTGTTTATGCAGCTCTAGCCACACCTCTTTGCATGTGACCTACACAGTCTCACAAGACACTTCCTGTAAAGTGAGATTTAATGTTTGAACTTCTTTATTGCACAGTTTGTTTCAACTTAGCATTTCTTGTCTCCTGTGTTCATAGTAGTCCGCTAGAGCATGCGTTATTAAAAGGATACTATAGGCATTAAAACAACTTTTTTGTTTCTGTTTATGCAGCCTTATGATCCCCTGGCTGTCACTGACACAGCCTTCATAAAAACAAAATGGTTTAATTTTCAATTTGATGTTAACTTGCATTAGATGTTTATCTCCTGCTCTGTAAGTTGAACTTTAATCACACATAGGAGGCTCCTGCAGAGTCTAGAATGCTATTAACAGACTAGGAGATAAGAAATTCAAAATTAAACAGAATGTGCAATAAAGAAAGTGTAAATAATAGATCTTACTTTACAGGAAGTGTTTAGTAAGGCTGTGCAAGTCACGTAGAATCCTAGAATGTGACGGCAGATAAGAACCATTCGGCCAATCTAGTCTGCCCAATTTTCTAAATACTTTCATAAGTCCCTGGCCTTATCTTATAGTTAGGATAGCCTTATGCCTATCCCACACATGCTTAAACTCCTTCATTGTGTTACCTCTACCACTTTATCTTGAAGGCTATTCCATGCATCCACTACCCTCTCAGTAAAGTAGTACTTCCTGATATTGTTTTTAAACCTTTGCCTCTCTAATTTAAAACTATGTCCTCTTTTTGGGGTAGTTTTTCTTCTTTTATAAATAGTCTCCTCCTTTACTGTGTTGATTCCCTTTATGTATTTAAATGTTTCTATCATATCCCCCCGTCTTGACTTTCCTCCAAGCTATACATGTTAAGATCCTTTAATCTTTCCTTGTTTTATCCTGCAATCCATGAACCAGTTTAGTAGCCCTTCTCTGAACTCTCTCTAAAGTATCAATATCCTACTGGAGATACAGTCTCCAGTACTGCGTACAATACTCCAAGTGAGGTCTCACCAGTGTTCTGTACAATGGCATGAGCACTTCCCTCCCTTACTGCTTATACCTTTCCCTATACAACCAAGCATTCTGCTAGCATTTCCTGCTGCCCTATTACATTGTTTGCCTACCTTTAAGTCGTCAGAAATAATCACCCCCCCCTAAATCCCTTTCCACAGATGTTGAGGTTAGAACTCTATCAAATATTCTGTACTCTGCCCTTGGGTTTTTACGTCCAAGATGCATTATCTTGCACTTATCCACATTAAATGTCAGTTGCCACAACTCTGACCGTTTTTCTAGTTTATCTAAATCATTTGCCATTTGGCTTATCCCTCCTGGAACATCAACCCTGTTAGATATCTTAGTATCATCGGATCGCTCGCAATATGCGTTCATTTCTGACAGCGACTCCCTCCCTCTCCCAGTCACGTGTGGTGTTCCCCAAGGTTCCATTCTCGGCCCCCTACTATTTACATTGTTTATAAATGATCTGCCTAATGTCTGCAAATCCTCAAATGTACACATGTACGCAGATGACACAGTAATCTATGCGCGCAAATCCAATCTACCGCAGCTTGAGGCTGTGCTCCAAGATCAGTTTACAGAGGTAGAAAAGTGGATCGCAAAAACCAAACTCTTCCTAAACACTGACAAAACTGTCACAATGATCTTTGGAACAGTACCTAAATTACACAAATTACACAATTCCCACCTATCCATCAAAACAAATTCAAATGGCACACTGACCGCAGTCCACTCTTTTAAATACTTGGGTATGATATTAGACCCCAATCTATCTTTTGGCCTCCACATAGAAAAACTTGCATCTAAACTTTATCCAAAACTAGGTGCCCTGTACAGAAACAAATCCTGCCTAAGCCCTAGAGTAAAGGAAAATATTGTACAGCAAATGCTGATGCCAAACATTGATTATGGGGATATAGTATATGCGTCTGCATCGCAATCCCACATTAATAAACTCAACACATTGTATAACTCGTTCTGCTGATTTGCGCTACAATGTAATTACAGGACTCACCATTGTGACATGCTAAAAGTACTAAACTGGCTGTCACTGGAATCCAAACGCACCCTTCATCTTTCCAGCCTTGTGTTTTAAGAGCTTTTCTGGGAAACTTCCACCCTACCTGAGCTTAATGCTATAACCTCCGATCCAGTACCTGCACTTTATTTAGTCTACCTCAATACAAAAAGAAAGCAGCCAGATCCTCCTCCTACAGAGCACCGCAATTGTGGAACGACCTCCCGCACCATTCAAAATCTTCCCTAAGCCTAAAGTCCTTTAAGAGATCCCTCTCTACATACCTCAAAACAGAATGCACGTGTCATGGTTGATTATATATTTCCTGCCTGTTCTATGTTACATTTTGTATATATTGTGTATTAATATTGTATTTGTATTTTATTGTACCCTAATGTAACAATGCAATGTTTTATGGACCCAGGACATACTTGAAAACGAGAGAAGTCTCAATGTATCTTTCCTGGTAAAATATTTTATAAATTATAAATAAATAAAAAAGACATCCCTTACCATCAAGACCTTCTGCAATATCACTAATAAAAACATTAAAGAGAATGGGTCCAAGTACAGATCCCTGAGTGACAAGCCCATGCTCCGAATATACTCCATTGACTACAAGCCTCTGTTACCTGTCACTCAGCCACTGCCGTACCCATTCAGGGAGGTGTGACTATGGCTGGATAAACAATGTGATTTAACTTCTAATTGACAGATAATTGAGTTGTGAGACTGCAGGGGCATGATAGAGATATATATATATATATAACATGACTGCTTCATTAAGATAAAGTTGTCTTGGTACCTATAATATCATTTTACATAAAAATTCAACCATTTAAAAAATAAAAAAAAATAAAAATGCATTCTGTGTTTGTCATAGCCAGTGGAGGTGTTGCTAGGGCTGCATAAACAGAAACAACGTGATTTAACTCCTAAATGACAAAGAATTGAGCAGTGAGACTGCAGGGGCATGATCTATACACCAAGACTGCTTCATTGGGGAAAAGCTGCTTTTGGTGGTTATAGTATCCCTTTTATCGCCTGTTTTTGTAAAGCAGTAGCAAAGCTAGGCTTTGTGTAACGAGATAGGCACTATTTTTTTTTTTCAAACCACTTGCAAACAGTTTGGCACAAAATGGAGCAAATGTGTCCATATAACCATTGCACCATAACCACCACAATAAGATATAGATTGGGATCCCATTAATGTGTTGAAATTGGTTTGATAACTTGTTGTTGATTCCATTATTCTAAATTATTAATTGAAATTAATGAAACATTTCTCTTTCAGATTGATGTTTTGGTAAATAACGGAGGGCGCTCACAGCGCTCACTGTGTATGGAGACTGACCTGGATGTTTATCGGGCTTTACTAGAGGTCAATTATGTGGGGACGGTTTCCTTAACCAAGCACGTTCTCCAACACATGGTTCAACGGAAAAAAGGAAAGGTTATATCAATAAGCAGCGTCACCGGCTTTATCGGGGTGCCACTCTCTTCTGGGTACGCCGCCAGCAAGCACGCTCTTCAGGTAATTATAGATTTGGATTTCTAACTTGTTCATGTGACTCTTTGCTGATTGCCACCGAAATTGGTAGCTTTGTTCTAGAACTATGCTTTTAATTTCCAAAAGCTAAGATTGTTTTACTATTACTAAGAGCAATACTGGGTTATCTGAAATGTCACGGCGTGTGACTCTAGAATAGTATGAGGACACAAATCCACAGTTAATTCTATAGGGGTAAAACTACTATTAAATCATGTCTGTAGGAACTTTAATAATAGAATCTCAGAACAGTCCACTTGGCATCAGGCAACAGCATACAGAATAATCCAATTACTTTATTTCTTCATATAGATATAGCCATTCCCATCATGGGAGTTGTAGTTCTACAACATCTGGGGATCTAACTTTTGGGCACCACTGAGATCTAAAAATCTACACTGGCACACAGCTGGGTGTGGGGTGGAGGGGAAGACACCAAAAAAAGTTCACACCACTTCTTCAGAAGCAAAGCCGTTGCAAATGTAATGACACAAAGTGGTGTGGGGTGGTGGATTATATATGGTGGATGGCAGGAGAGGTGGATTATATATGGTGGATGGCAGGCGAGGTGGATTATATATGGTAGATGGCAGGCGAGGTGGATTATATATGGTAGATGGCAGGCGAGGTGGATTATATAAGGTGGATGGCAGGGGAGGTGGATTATATAAGGTGGATGGCAGGGGTGGTGGATTATATATGGTGGATGGCAGGAGAGGTGGATTATATATGGTGGATGGCAGGAGAGGTGGATGGCAGGCGAGGTGGATTATATATGGTGGATGGCAGGGGAGGTGGATTATATAAGGCGGATGGCAGGGGAGGTGGATTATATAAGGTGGATGGCAGGGGTGGTGGATTATATAAGGTGGATGGCAGGGGTGGTGGATTATATATGGTGGATTATATATGGTGGATGGCAGGGGAGGTGGATTATATATGGTGGATGGCAGGAGAGGTGGATTATATATGGTGGATGGCAGGAGAGGTGGATTATATATGGTGGATGGCAGGAGAGGTGGATTATATATGGTGGATGGCAGGAGAGGTGGATTATATATGGTGGATTATATATGGTGGATGGCAGGGGAGGTGGATTATATATGGTGGATGGCAGGGGAGGTGGATTATATATGGTGGATTGCAGGGGAGGTGGATTATATATGGTGGATTGCAGGGGAGGTGGATTATATATGGTGGATGGCAGGAGAGGTGGATTATATAAGGTGGATGATATATGGTGGATGGCAGGGGAGGTGGATTATATATGGTGGATGGCAGGGGAGGTGGATTATATATGGTGGATGGCAGGAGAGGTGGATTATATATGGCAGGAGAGGTGGATGGTGGATGGCAGAGAGGTGGATTATATATGGTGGATGGCAGGAGAGGTGGATTATATATGGTGGATTATATATGGTGGATGGCAGGAGATTATATGGTGGATTATGGATTATATATGGTGGATGGCAGGGGAGGTGGATTATATATGGTGGATGGCAGGGGAGGTGGATTATATAAGGTGGATGGCAGGGGAGGTGGATTATATAAGGTGGATGGCAGGAGAGGTGGGTACGTTAGGTGGATGGCAGAGAAATCTATAAAGTGGATTGCTGTTGAGGATGGTATATAGTAGGCTAAAGGAGTGGTTATTGAAAGGATTACAAGGAGATTACGTGGAGTTATCTGTGTGTAAGATAGTGACTGGCACGTTGCTAATCTTCAGCCAGTGCCTGATCTGGACTTTAAACATTACTGTTCTAGGTTACACGTGTAACCAGGGGTTAAAAGGGAATATTTTAATTTTATTTTTTTTGTGCAATCCAAATGAGCGTGACTCCCAATCTGGAGAATCTGGCTATTATGGTGGTCAGTTTATTTAACAGAGATCCTTCTCTTATTTATGAAAAACACCCAGTTTATTTCCTTGCTCTCTGTTTTGTATGCTACTTTATTGCTCAAATGTTGTTTTTCTTACTCTACAATAATTGTATGATTTGTGGGGTTTTTTTTTAACCTCTGACATGCTTGAACAAATTTTTACAATGAAAATGTAAACCCATTACCCGTGATCCTAATCCACTTTTTGTCCTTCCTTTTGAAAATACAGGGATTTCTCAACAGTCTGCGAGTAGAACTAGGATCTTACCCAGATATAACAATTAGTATTGTGTGCCCAGGACCTGTCCAGTCTAAAATAGTGGAAAATGCTTATACGGAAAAGATTGAGGTACATTTCTAGAAACCTTATTTTATACACTTGGCATGGAATGCCTGGAAATGCTCACATTTGCTCAATTCTTCATTATCTTTCCAGTATAACATTGCAATGAGAAGCAGTGACTTGTGGGGTGCAAGACACAGTGATCACACGTTACACATTTCATACGGAGTATGAGGATGTAAACTACCTTAGTATGAAGTCCATGGTTGATTGGACAGTTTAGAGGGCTGGCAAAGGCCTTTGCTGTCAAGCATATTTAAAACTACAGAAAAACACAGATTTTAATCATAATTTTGAAAAATAAATATTCCTATACGCTATTCATAATGACGATAAACCAGTTTTGTCTGTCTTGAATGAACAAAAACTGTGCACTTCTAGAGTATATTTTTTACGTATGTAACGGTTTTGAAGGTTTAAGATTGCATCATCATTGTGGTGAATATATTGCACCAAATATGTTGAGAATCTCCAGTGGCATTTTACATGAATGGTGCACCGTGGGCGTACCACAACCTGCTTACTGTCAGAATAAGAACTACTTTGAAGTGACCCGTGACTTCCCCAGTAATTACACCATTAAATAGAACGTTACAAATGGGTTAATCCTTATTCATGTGATGCTGATTTATATTTTAAAGGGTACAATAAGGATTTAGCAGCTAAAATTAAAATCCAGTTCAGTCCTGGCACAGCCAAGGCATGGGTTACATTGGAGAGGGATGAGAAAGAAAAACTCTGTTGCTCAACTTCGGTCTGTGCTGACTGTAAAGAGCAGATTTAACAGTGTAACAGTGATTGACAGGAAGCCAAGATGGATGTGCTCGGGTAAAGAGCACAAAGTGAATAAATTTATTTTTCAAGCCTGACAAACACTTATTTGTTAAAGATAGCAGACAAGTGAATATTATATTAAACATACCTAGAAGTGACGGTTCCCCTTTTAACATGTTCATTTTTGACCGTACTATCTATACACAAATAATTATTTTCTAAGAACAGTGTAGTTTTATTCAACTTTAACGATAATCACACACTACATTATACCAGTCAATACAATACTTACTGTCTTCAAATCGCTTATTGTAAATGCTAATCATCTTTTCTCAACTCACCACAACTATGACACTAGCATGACTGCCGGTGTAATTATGTAGAATTTTAGACATGTCATTTTATACTTCTTGCAGGGATCCAATCAGTGTATTGAAGTAAATGAGAAATTGTGAGATGTCGAACTTCCTCCCTCTAATTTTGTTTATTTATTTTTAATGTTTATTTCAATGTGTAGGTTGAGCCCTTTGAGTTACTCGCATAGCAAAACCACAACTCTTCCGGTATTGCTATTTACATATTTTGTCACTCACATATTGCTGTTCTCTTTTCAGAAATCTGCTCCCACGACAGATCAGTCTTCTAAAATGCCCACTGAGCGCTGTGCTCGGCTCATACTGATTACCATTGCAAATAACCTGTACGAAACCTGGATTGCAGAGCAGCCTTTTTTAGCAATATGTTACCTATGGCAGTACACTCCAACATGGGCATGGTGGTTAACAGGAAAGATTGGCGCGCGAAGAATACAGAATTTCAAACGAGGAGTGGTATGTGTGTATATATAATTTTATTTATTATTTTTTTTCCACCAACCGTTTTATAGATATTACTAGCAAAACAAATTCACTCCGATTTCATTAGGGAAAACTTATAAAATGTACATTTTGAACAAGATCGTAGTAAGCAGTAACACTGGGGTTATAGTGATAGAAACATTAGTTTAGGGCGAACATCAAGAGGTGTGGTTACAGTTGGAGCATTAACACTACATTACTTTGGGGTCCTATATGCGTTTAATAATTATGTAATTGGGTATAAACACATTTACACACAGTTAAATGCAGTATTACAGTGAACACGTGTTGGTATGAAACACTGTGGTCAACTCAAATATCAAGTTTCTTAAAGCGGCACTGTCATGCTGAATCCTGTTTTTTAAACCCACTCGCCCACTCTCTCTAATTGACCCCTAGTCACCCCCAAATGCCCCTAAGCCTTTTTTTTTTTTTTTCCTTTATTTTCTGCCCCGATCTTTATTCAGGGCGCCGCTATCTTTGTGTGGGTAGATGAAGTCCCTGTGGGACACGTTATCTGCCCACACTATATAGCGCTGTGAGATTCCCACACATGCCCAGTGAAACACCTGGACATGCGAACGGGAATTTCATCTATTCATTCATTCATTCATCAGAAAGCTGAATGAATAGAAATGTCAGACGAACAAACTAACACTGTGTATCAGTGTTCGTTTGTTCGTGCAGTTTATTACAAGGAGGGAGCTACCGGCACGCAGCTCCCTCCTTGTAATATGTAACTATAGAAGCGGCAGGGAGCAGTGCTCCCCAGCACTTCATAAGCCCCCCAGGTCCCCCCTCACTCTATGGGGGTCAATATGACCCCCCATAATAGCATAAAGGAGATTAAAATCTCCCTACTTGCTATACCGCAAGTAGGGGCATGTCCACTAAACAGTGAGCAACCCGTGGCTGCTCACTGTAAAAAACAAAAAAAAAAACTATTGGCCCCCACCCCTGAATGACGGGTGGGGGCCCCGAAGTAAAATAAGGGGGGAGACCTATTGTCCCCCCCATCCCTGGGTGGCAGGTGGGGTGCCATAAAGATAATGAGGGGGGGGGGACCCTCTGTTCACCCCCCCTCCGGCCCCCACCCCTTGGCGGCGGGTGGGGGCCATAATGATAATGGGGAGGGGGGACCTACTGTCAACCCCCCCTCCGGCCCCCACCCCTCGGCGGCAGGTGGGGGCCATAAAGATAATGAGGAGAGGGACCTACTGTCCTCCCCCCGCGGCGGTGGCCATAATGATAATGAGGGGGGGACGGGACCTACTGTCCACCCCACGGCAGCGGGTGGGGGTCATAAAGATAATGTTCCCCCCCCAAGTCAAATTCACTCCCGCAGGGGGGGAACCTACTGATAATGAGGGGGGGGACCTACTCCCCCTCCGGCACCCACCCCTGGGCTGCAGGCGGGGGCCAAATGATGAGGGGGGGGGGACCTACTGTCCATTTCTCCGCCCCCACCCCAGGCGGTGGGGTTAAGATAAACCAGTCCTAGCCTCCCACCCCCTCCTAACTCAAATTCACCCCCATCAGACTAGGGGTCCCCAAGCCCCTAGTCCCCCACCCAAAAATAAACAAGTCCCTACCTACCCCCCTCACTCTAAAAAATAGTGAGGGGGGGAATAAAATAACTAACCTGTAAAATAAAATTAAACTTACCATTCGACGTCTTCTTTTTTCTCAAATCTTCATTTTTCAGCCCCAAAAAAGGCCAAATAAAAAACCATCATAACCGTCGAACTTATAAAAAAAAAAAAAAAGACGAGTGAAAAGAGCAGAGCCAAAAAAGATCCATCTTCACCAGGGCTCCAGACTGAGCTCGTAGGGGAGCCTTGCCAAGCTGCTCGCCTGTAATTAGCCGATTGGTGGGTTTAAGCCAATCAGAGTGCTCTGTGTCATTTTACACAGCGTGGGAAAATTCCAAAGAACTTTCCCACGCTGTGTAAAATGACACAGAGCTCTGTGATTGGATGGATTTCAAGCCATCTAATCACAGTGCTGTGTGTCATTTTACACAGCGTGGGAAAATTCTAAAATACTTTCCCACGCTGTGTAAAATGACACAGAGCACTGTGATTGGATGGATTTCAAGCCATCCAATCACAGTGCTCTGTGTCATTTTACACAGCGTGGGAAAATTCCAAAGAACTGTGTAAAATGACAAAGAGCACTCTGATTGGCTTAAACCCACCAATCAGTGTTCTTAGCCTAATTGCAGGGCGGGGCAAGGCTTTATAAGCCGGAGCTCAGTCTGCGGAGCCCTCCATGGGTGAAGATGGATTATTTTTTTGCGCTCGGGTTTCTTTGTCGTCTTTTTTTTTTTTTGCGCTCGGGATTTTTATTTTATTTTAAGTTCGGTTATGATGGTTTTTTATTTGGCCTGAAAAATGAAGATTTTAGAAAAAAGAAGACATCAAATGGTAAGTTTAATTTTACTTTACAGGTTAGTTATTTTATTCCCCTCTCACTATTTTTTAGGGTGAGGGGTGTAGGTAGGGGACTTTTTATTTGGGTGGGGGGTTGGGTGACCAGGAGCTTGGGGACCCCTAGTCACCTTTGATGGGTGGGTGAATTTGAGTTAGGGCCACCCAGGGGTGGGGGCTGGGGTGACAGTAGGTCCCCCCCCCATTATCATTATGGCCCCCGCCCAGGGGTGGGGGCCGGAGGGGGAATGGACAGTAGGTCTCCCCGCCTGCCGTGCAGGGGTGGGGGGGACAATAGGTCTCCCCCCTTATTTTACTTTAAGGCCCCCACCTGTCGTTTAGGGGTGGGGCCAATAGTTTTTTTGTTTTTTTTACAGTGAGCAGCCACAGGCTGCTCACTGTTTACTAGACAGGCCCCTACTCGCGGTATAGCGAGTAGGGGCAGCATTTACTAATACTAAGTAATTTTTACTTGGTATTAGTAAATGTGGATGAAAGACCAATTTAGGGCTTTCAGCCTTTTGGTAGATAACTCCCTGATACCGTGGGAATTAGGGAGTTATCTACTAAGCGGCTGCAAGATGCAGCCGCGGCAATGAATAGGATCGGAGTTTCATTCATTCGAATGAAATTGCGATCCGAATAAAGTGCCGAATTGCGTTCTAAAACAAACGAACATACTGTTCTCATTCAGTTAGAACGCAATTTGGCAGTTTCAGCTAAAATGACAGGAACAATCGCGGGAACACTGAGGAAAGGTAAGAATTATGGGAAAATTGCTCTGACCAGCGGAAATGAAGCACACTTTGCTCCTCCGCTGGTCAGAGCTGGTCAAGCGGAGGAATCCTCCATAAGGCAGAGTCCCTACTTTGTCTTATGATTTTAAAGAAAACTAAAGAAGACAGGAAGAAAAGAAGAACAGATCCTGAGAGAGGGGGAAAAGAGGAAGAGATTGAGGAAAGGTAAGTTCGGTATGACAGTGCCGCTTTAAAAATCAGTGTTCTGGTATCGCTGATAAAATGTTAAACCTGCATTTATATAAACTTAACTCCCTCTAATGGGTTTCTAACAGACAGTCACCTGACTGACACTAGACATCTTCACAAGGACATCCAGCATCAGCCAAAACCCTTTAGGAAAGCTTTGAAGCCAAGTCTCTCTGTTCTCCTGTGCAGACAGTCGTTCACTAAAGTGTGAATTGTCAGGAGTCAAAGTGAATTAAAATTTTTAACCCAAGTCAAATAGAAAACACAGCTGCAGCTCTATTGGTCAAAAACGTTTTTAAATTACATTGAGTTCCTAAAAAGGTGCACAATGCAATTTGCATCAACCTGCGGTGATTGGGAGAATCTAATCAAATATGAACTTAATGGTTTCACAAAATGTTTGTTTTTAGCAGAAATGCACCAGTGTATGATTTGTTGTTGTTTTTATTTTAGGACGCAGATTCTTCATACTTTACAAAAAAGATCAATTAGAAGAAACCCCTTTATGACTTCTTCAATGCAGCATTCAGGCAATACTTCAAAAAGGAGAAATGTCAATGTATTCGTACAATATGTTCTAATGAAACCACAACCCTTGATTCATGTTTATACGATTTTGTACTGAGATTGTCACTGTGGAAGGCTGTAAGTAACCCCATTCATAACGATAATGCACTAAACAATATGGGGGGGGAGGGAAACTCCTTGTATTTAACTTTCCTGCTGTATTCGGCTAATAAACTGCAAGCTAGCTGCACCCAGACCAGTACTCAATCAAAAAGGAGCCTGGTCTGTGGGGTTCTTCATATCCCGTAAACCACGGCTGCAACATTTCTTGTTCAACCCTCACCTGGAGATCTCCGAGTGGGCTGGCTACTCAATATGCTGATCGTAGCTACAAACAGGCTGTTATCCATTTACTCACTGTCTCATCAGTTTTCTGAAATGGAGTGTTTATAGTTATTGCTTGTAAGTGAATTTTCCCCCAATTGTTTTTGCTCACCAATATACTTTATTTTATTTTTTTTATTTTCAGCAACTGCAAATGTAAACAAAATGTGTGTGCACAGAGACTTTTGAAATCTGCTAGTAAGATGGAATAAATATATTAAATTCAGCCTTAATAGAATGGAAATCAGATTCCTGATTTAAATTTGTTTTGTAAATGAGGAATATTTAAATGTAATTTATTTATTTTTTAAACAGTGGCAAAATCCAGCTGTGTCTCTTTAAAAGGGAGGTCTGGCACCAAAACCACCACAACCTGCTGCAGTGGTTATGGAGCCAGGAATCCCCTGATGCTGTATTACTTGTAGTACTCAGATCATTTTCAAACATTTATCCATGTATTTCTTTATTGCCTGTTTGGAATGTTCTGTATTTTTTTGAAGTTTTGATTTATTTACAATATGCTGTTGCATATTGATTCCAAAATACCTGAGCTGGAAAAATGTAAAAATATTCTAATTGATATATCTTGGACTAGGTTTGACATTCACCTTAATTCGTGGCAGTTTCTAGGGTGGAATAGGAATTTATATAGGTTTTATTTAGAATTGTTTAACATGCCCTCAGGTTATGACCTTTCACCCGCTGGTTAACTACATCTCCCATGCTGCACTGCCAGAATGTGACACTATGAGTGTTCTAGTTCTGATTAACTTTGACAGAGTAGGGAAAAAAGACTTAATAAGAAACCACAAACTTTGCTTTATTACAATAAACATGAATATTTTATAAAAGAATTGATACATTATAAACAATTTGGTCAAACATTGTAGATCTTGTTTTTTTTTGATTGTACACATTTTACACTGGAAGCAATGACCTATTTAAGTCACTTGTCTGGTTGCTATAATATTGAGAGAAAATGTAACTAAGTGAGAGCACTTATCTAGAGGTAATGTGAATACCACTGTATCCCAGGAATTCTGTACATGCAGTTAATTTAAAAAATAAAAAAATTCTGAACACTAAAATGTCCAAGAGCAGCATCTATTGTCGTGTAACTACATCGGTCATAAAATGGTTATTTCCCACTGGACATGCAGAGACACAGTACAAAGGGTTAATACAAAGGCACGTGGAGTGGTACGGAGGAGTAAATTGGATATCCAAGTGGCGGGTCTGCCGCTTGCACAGTTAAATTTCGTAAAAGCACTGGATGAGCTTGAATGCTGTAACGTTCTTCGTCATCGTTTGTAGCGTACAAGAGCTCCCAAGATAAGTTTGCCCACTGACCTCGAACAGCTTCTGCATTCAACTTTCCAATCTGCACCAGTTGGTCCTGGAGGGTGAGTACTCTGCCCGTGTAAACTCCCTTAATGTACATGAAACACAGAAAGCAAGATATCACAGCTAACTTTCTTTACAGAACAAAATTATACCAGTATTTATCAGCATGAGATGACTTGCTGTCCTCTGCATTTTTCCATTTGGATTAATTTACTCTGAGATAGAATGTAATTATGTAGACAACAGTTTAATGTATTCTCATATGGTTCTATTGCAGAATACGGAGCACAAGGAAGATAAATGTAGCATAATGGTGCAGTCAAACATCTACAACAGCCTGCGGTGCTTGTGGTTACGGAGTCTCCAGACACCAACCCACACTAAGCAGTTAACCCGTTTGGCTCTTGTCAGCCAATCAGCACACTCTGTGCTTCCTGAAAGTTAAAATTGAGAAGCTGGATGCCACTGGAGGTAACTTTGGGGTTAACTTCTGAAGATAAGAATGTGCCTGGGGGCCTCCTGGTAGTATAACAAATTAATTTAGAAGATGTTGCCTTATGCTAGGGATTGACCGATATTGGCTTTTTTTTTTTTTTTTTTAGAGCAGATACCGATAATCTGAACTTTCAGGCCGATAGCCGATAATTTACCGACAGTCTGTACATTTACCGTTTTGAAAAAATAAACTTTCTATACAAATCTACTGTAACTGAACATGTTTATTTTATTTTTTTGCAAATCTTTTTTTATTAAGGTAAATGCACAAAATATACATGTCAGTCAGAATTATTTACCGTGGAAACTGCTGCAACGTTCCAAGCTCGCGAGAAGAGAGCCCGATGAAGCTGCAGGTAAAAGCTCCCCCGGGTCCTCTCTCCCTCCTTCAGCTGCAATATCTTTATAGGGTGCTGAAAATGCAGAACATCGGACGATATTCGGTCGATCCCTACCTTTATGCAGCCTAAACTATCCTTTTCAAGTCTAAAATGAACTTTGAATTCTCACGTTAGTCCATAAACCTGTAGGGCTCCTGGACATCTCCATTCCAGACATTCTTACTCCCATAATAATGACATCAATTCTGCCTGTGTTTAGACAAAACTGGTTGGCAGATAATGTCAGCTTTTAGCCAAGGACTAAAATTCAAATGGCAGGACATTCATCTAGCTAATGCAGAGGGTAACTTCTGCTTCAATTATATCAAAAAGTAGGTGCCCCCCTCTGTAAGTGATACTTACCTATACATCCTGCAGCACGCTAGTCTCCATACTACCTCCCTTTCAGAGATCGTCAGTCTCACTAATGTCAGCCAATCCAACGCTTCCTCATAGGGAAGCATCGGGAGCCTAGTGAGCATTTATGGCAAAACTATGCACTGTGTAAAATCAAATGATCTATAACCGCGTTAAATGCGGCTACAGCCGAGGGAGCGCATTAGAGGCGCATTAACCCTGCAATGAAAACATTACTATCCCTGCAAAGTCAAACAACTTAAACTAGATAAAGATGTCTGGGTGCCTATAAAGCTGTTACTGTGCCAGAATATTTCTTTAAAGGTAAGACTGTGACGAAAAACTCTGGGTACCATTACAACTTGCCTGAAATGAAGTTGTCATGGTGCCTGGGGTGTTTCTTTAGAAGAAAACTAGTGTTACTAACATGAACCTGTATTACTAACCCTATAGTGTCCCTAACTTTAAAGGTCCCCCCCTCCTTTTTCAAAGGCTTAACAAAAAACAAAACTTTTCCACATGCTTTTTTCCAGCAGTGATGGCTAGGTAAACGCCTCCCGTGGTGCGGGGACCGAATGTGTATATACAGTAAATGCTGCATAGTAAAGCGTCCACATAGAAAGCATTTAATATATGGGGAATTTATAGATCTTACACGTCCTCATACTAAACTGGAAGACCGTGCCTAGATGTTGGTTAAACCCTCAATGTAATTATTGCGAATAATTCCCAAACTGCTTATATTTTACAGTGCAGGGTTAAAGGGACACTGTATCCAGACCATTTCCATGGGATGAAGTGGGCTTGGTGCCTGTAGTGTCTCTAAGCTTAATTCTCCCTATTTCCTTCTGCAAACCACACATCATATATCTGAAATGCTCTAGAAAGGTAGGGATGATGTGATGCAGCTACTCACATGCCACATTTGTGACTTTCTATAATGCAAATATTGATTTTAATTGCGGTTTAGGACATCGTGCCTTTGTGAGAACGATCAAGAATTCTATCCCATTGTACAGCGCTACAGAATTTGCTGGCGCTAGATAAATAATATAATAATAATATTATTTCCGATCTGAGGCCAAATAGCTGAACATGAAAAAGTCAAGTGGACTGTGCCTCCAGTTCAGATACTCTGACCTTAAAGGGACACTATAGGCACCCAGACCATTTCATCTCATTGACGTGGTCTGGGTGCAGTGTCCTTGCCCCTTTAATCCCTGCCTTACAGTTCTAAAGACTAGTCTCTAGAGGCGCTTCCTGCAGTTTCATGGAGTTTGACTCTGTGAAATGACGCTGAACGTCTTCACGCTTTCCATCTGGAGAAATTAATTTCCTATGGGGAAGTCCCAATGCGCCTGCGTGCGGCACTTACCGAGCATACGCATTAGGTACCCCCTACAGGCTGATGGCGGAGGGGGTGGGCGCCAGAGTGCACTAAAGTATTAGACATGCAGTTTTCTGTATTTCTAACACTATAGTTTTCCTTTACACTTTCACTCTGAATTCAATTCTCACTTATACCCCCATATAGTGAATATACCCGATAGATTAGATATGTACCTTTTGCGGCACTAGAAGCCCCATAACTGATCATGAGTGCAAAGTTATGGTACAGAACATACCTTGTACAAACTAGATAATGTACTAAAAAAATCTGCATATATTAGAACATAATAGAGAATAAAATAGAAAATACACAAAGTCAAACACACGGTATCTGTATTTCAGGTACACATTAATAAGGTGTACGTATTCTGAAAGTTTGTTGAACCAAGAATGCCTTGAAGGTTTCCTGATCCGTGATATAAATGAGTTATCTAATACACTTTGCCCTATATTGTGTAGTTACTTATTTTCTAGAGAAGGGAAGCTATCTCAGCCTTTAACTGATTAAAGGCGGCTGTTCTAAGAGGGTGGCATTTTCTCTGCTTATCTGGAGCAATAACCGTAATGTTCCCATTATTACAGCCATTTGGATGGACCTGTAGAGATTTATCTTTTGTTGCTCAGCACATGTCAAATGACAGTCACTTCAGCTTAACACCCCTGCAGCCTTGCATGTCTGAGAAACGGCACGGTTTGTGCAATTCCTACGTGTCTAGTGACGGTCAGACGACCATGAGGGCTTTGGACTAAAATAGAATCAATCATTTATTCTACTGTATGCAGGGCGTCAGGGGGGAGTCTGTATGGGGGCTGGAATTAATATTATTTCTTGTTTTTATTTAATAAAGAATGGCCCATTAAGTGCTCGGTCTGTAGATAAAGGAGAAAAAAAAAAAAAAAAAGGATTAAGTTACAGGTGATACAATCGCTCTTGTACAGAATGACTGTAAACACAGCTCCACCTGTACTCTGTGCCCTCCAGTTCCTTCACCTGTCTGGGATGGAGGTATTTCTGTGATATTTACTAGCAAATATAATATATTACTTTCAGAGTCCTTTTAAAGGAACACTCCAAGCACCATAACCACTGCAGCCTGCCCTGGTACTATGCCACGATAAGCAATCAAACTGTTTGTAATATAGTTTGACAAATTACCTTGGTCCTGCCTGGTGTTAACAGTCTCCTACACGGCTTCTCTTCTGCAGGAGTACTTGGGTAGCTCTACTGAACAGACCATGCAGGACTGTAATCATTGGCGGAGAGCATCAGTTGAGCACTTACTGCCAAACTATATCTGCAGTGCTTCGCCCTATAGAAACACCGGGCGCAGGCACCCTGGGGAGCCAGATAAACCATACACATTACACTGGGACTGTGCAGAGACCCTGCTGGTGTATAGCATCATAATCTCACTAATGATTTCTAAATAAAGATACTAAATTATCGGTTTGTTTTTAATCTGCTATCCTTTATCTAGAACAAAAAAGCAAGACCACCGACCAATAGAAATATATATCTTACCATATTTACATCTTGCCCCAACGAGAAAAGGTAGGGTTTCTCCTGTAAAACAGCCTGTTGCCATCTGGGGTCTGACTCCAAACCAATATACCAGTCATGATCGTACTCTTCAAAATAATTGATGAGCTCTTTGAAGTCTTCTACTGGGCCCAGACTTGCCTTATCAACCATCAATTTCAATGTATACCTGCGAGACAAGCCACAAAAAGCTTAGCAAACACAGTAATAAATGAACAAATAAAAACAACTAGTTTTGGGACTATTTACAAATGCTCAGAAGTTTCAGAAACTTTAGGACCATTTTAACAATTCCCAGTTTATAAAATACACAGGCTATGCCAGTGGTTCCCAAACTTTTTAAGTTCAAGGCACCGTTAATTTTTCAATATTTTTCCAAGGCGCCCCAAGTGAAAACAATTTGCTAGGTTGTATATATGTACAGCGCAGCGGCATATACTGGGCCCCTGTCGGCAGAAATGCTTGCCGTTCAAGCGCAGATCCAGAACCTAATCTTGGGAGGGGCACTGGTAGATTATTTAAAGAAACAATCCAGGCACAATAACCACTACAGGACTTTGTAGTGGTTATGGTGCCAGTAGTGTCATAGTGCCTTCCCTGAGTAAGTAGTCAAACTATTTAAGAACAGTTTGACTACTTACCTGGGATCTGCCAGAATAGGGACTGTAGAGTGAGAGTGTGTGTGAATGAGTGAGTGTACGGGGATGCATTGTGTTTGTGAAGGGTGGTGTGTGTGTGTATGGGGGAAGTTAGTGGGGGTAGGTGGGCAGATAAATGTATAATTTTTAATTTAAAAAATCCCCCCTCTCCCTGCTAAACTTACATCCCTGGTGGTCCAATTGGTGAGAGTAAACTCTAACATTCGGAGCATTGCCGTGGTAACGCTCCAAGCTCGCGAGAGGAGAACCAGCGGAGGTGCAGGTTAGAGCTCCCCCGGGTCCTCTCTATATCTCTCTCTCTGATCTCCCCTCTGGCCTTGCAGAGCCGGCAGGGGAACGGGAGGCACGGTTCCCAGTGCTATCATCATAGCACCAGGAAAATATCTTGCGGCGCCCCTGTGTGCCCAGCACAGTTTGGGAACCACTGTGCTATACAAAGAAAATTGGTTTAAAATGTAGCTCTTACCTGAATGCTTTCAATGCCAGTTGAAATAACATTGGTTTTCCAGTTAACCAGTCTACGGAGACGGACCAAGGAATGTTGCCCAGGTAGGCTCTATATAACCATGCAGAACAAGGAGTTGAGCTTTCTGTTCCAAACAAAGTAAAGTAAACTGATGTTAGTACTTGAATGTATAGCTCTCTCAGTGACGTGTCTTTGATGAGTTCATCACACAGCACCGAGGGCTTCTCATCCAGGTGATGAAAATCCAGCTGTTTTAGAACAAACTCATACCACTCGGAAGGAAACATTTGCTTCATTTCACGCACTTTTTGATTACTTAAAGAAACCAATATCCAATCTTGAGGTACGCTGAGAGATTTTGAATAAGAACAATTAAATTCCAACATACTGAAATGTTCAACGGGAGTTTGTTTTCCTTTGTCTGTTGCAGGAAGACCAAAGCCAACTACAGAATAAAGTTTGTCAACAGCTACATCTTGCTCTATGTAATTATCTTCATGTTGTGTTTCGATACTACCTGGGATAGAGAGCCCCCCAGCAGCTGAAGTTACAATTGGTTTAGTTACAGTTTTCTTTGTGTGCGGAAGAATTTCAAAAATATCGTCGTCATCTGACCATTCGTCGAACCCCTCTCCACTAATGCTTTCATTTTCCTTTCTGCTATTATTTTGACCAACATTGTGAGTTCCCTCGATTTCACTGTACTTTTCCGAGATGGTAATGTTGAGGCCGTCGCTTTGATCTACAGCTGAGTTTTTTTGTGTTTTTGACTTTTTATAACGAGAATGAATAAGCACCCACAAAAGCACTTTGATGAAATCGTCTCTGAATTGTTTCAAGTTCTCGTGAGAGTCGATTATCCCAGAAAGTACGTTTCTAGCATCAGAATACACCCTAACTGGAACAACAGTGCACGGCATTAATATGTTCCCAAAGTGGTGGTTTAGAGCAAATCGGCCTACATTTTCAGCCTGCTCAAAAGCCATTTCGAAGACTTCATCCACCCGCCGAGCTTCAGCAGTGTGACATGAGGTCTCCTGTAACTCGAGTCCCTAAGAGACAAACAAAAAATGTAATAATTTCTTCTGAAGAGTAACATGCATGTGATATCAAATTAGAATTTGGTTCAAGCTATAATTTATAATTGACTTTCCTTCTCAATAGTTTACCTTAACATTAATGCAGCAATAAGTGTACCCTCTTTCGAGAACTAGCAGCCATATAAGGCGATCCTGAAAGCGACAGAGATAGTGAGATCCAGGAGTAACCAGTCCTGAAATACAAGAGTGAACATAGTACTAAGTGTTAGATCATACACTGAGATATATAAACCAAGCATAGAATGTCCAAAGAGTGACCATGGTACTAAGTGTTAGATCGTACATTGAGATATATAAACCAGGCATAGAATGTCCAAAGAGTGACCATGGTACTAAGTGTTAGATCGTACATTGAGATATATAAACCAGGCATAGAATGTCCAAAGAGTGACCATGGTACTAAGTGTTAGATCGTACATTGAGATATATAAACCAGGCATAGAATGTCCAAAGAGTGACCATGGTACTAAGTGTTAGATCGTACATTGAGATATATAAACCAGGCATAGAATGTCCAAAGAGTGACCACGGTACTAAGTGTTAGATCGTACATTGAGATATATAAACCAAGCATAGAATGTCCAAAGAGTGACCACGGTACTAAGTATTAGATCGTACATTGAGATATATAAACCAGGCATAGAATGTCCAAAGAGTGACCATGGTACCAAGTGTTAGATCGTACATTGAGATATATAAACCAGGCATAGAATGTCCAAAGAGTGACCATGGTACTAAGTGTTAGATCGTACATTGAGAAATATAAACCAAGCATAGAATGTCCAAAGAGTGACCATGGTACTAAGTGTTAGATCGTACATTGAGATATATAAACCAAGCATAGAATGTCCAAAGAGTGGCCATGGTACTAAGTGTTAGATCGTACATTGAGATATATAAACCAAGCATAGAATGTCCAAAGAGTGACCATGGTACTAAGTGTTAGATCGTACATTGAGATATATAAACCAAGCATAGAATGCCCAAAGAGTGACCATGGTACTAAGTGTTAGATCGTACATTGAGATATATAAACCAAGCATAGAATGTCCAAAGAGTGACCATGGTACTAAGTGTTAGATCGTACATTGAGAAATATAAACCAAGCATAGAATGTCCAAAGAGTGACCATGGTACTAAGTGTTAGATCGTACATTGAGATATATAAACCAAGCATAGAATGTCCAAAGAGTGACCATGGTACTAAGTGTTAGATCGTACATTGAGATATATAAACCAAGCATAGAATGTCCAAAGAGTGACCATGGTAATAAGTGTTTGATCATTCATTGAAATATATAAACCAAGAATACTCCTCATCCACTGTATTAAACCGCCTACACGGAAGAGGGTTGTACTACTAATCTCATTGACACAATCTGTGCATATGATTGCTGTAACGAAGTCTACATTAAGAATATAAACTTATTTTATGCTCAAGATATAGAAATAAACATTCAATCTATCCGTGCCCCCTCCATTAATATTTCTAACATCACTACTCACTATAATTAAATCAAATGTAACATTTAGTTAGAGTGATTAACCACATACAGTAAAACAACATGTTTAAGTCTTTGAACAGCAATCCGTAACTAGATTGTTATAGTTTAACATGTGCAGTGATTAGAAATGCCTGCACAGCAAACAAAGAGTTAACAAAGATTTAAAACTACACGTGGATAGTCTCTGCCCATGTAATGCACATTATGGGTAATATAATATATGAACGAAGCCATTCTCCACATACAATACATGACTAGTAATCTGAGAACAGTATTTCTGTCTGATCGTAATACTCTGTGCTTGTGCTGTGACAACACACCATGGAAACAAGAGTAAAGCACTTATAAAAAGGGGCATAGCCGTCAGCACGAAGAGAAACCTGGGCTAAATCGATTACCATAAAAGTATCTTGCCTGACAGTACAGGAATTCTAGGGGAAGAATACATGTCTATACTTTGTATTTATATAAACAGCTCCATAGAGAACTGGAGGCAGACAATGGGTGATGCAACGTTCTAGGGAGGTGAGCCAGTATGTATGCATATATGTAATATGTTTACCTATAATAATAAAATAAATATTATATATAATTATATATATATATAAAAATAACACACACACACACACACACACACACATTTGATGTAAGTATAGAATAATAAAACAATTATATTTCTAGTTCTAGGGCTTTTAAATAAGCAATTATCAGATCTACATATTAACTGTTGATTATTCTGCATAATATATTCTAAATATAAAATACATAAGAAATCTGCAATTATAGAAAAATACAAATGTGCAGTTAGTCTCTTCATAATGTGAAGCCTGTTAAATGTGCACTCTTGCTTAAGACATTCTGCGCATGTGCAATAAATTTGCACTGAATTGATGACTACCCAACGCGCTGAATTTGTCATTTTTAAATTGAAAGGAACACGACAGCATTAAGAATACCAACAGGTACACCTAGCACTATGGTGTTAAACCTATTTAAAAAAAAAAAAAAAAATTATTTGGGGGAGGAGGAGAACATTTTACTTACCTTTACTCCCTCATTGCACTGGTCTCGCTGTGGTTGCTGGCTGAGATCATCAATATTGATGATCTCAGCCTATCCAATGCTTTCCCATAAAAAGGTGTTGGGAGGTCAGTTCTCATGTGTGGCAATCAGCATCTCCTCATAGAGACGCATTGAGCCATTGAATGTTGGTCCTGCAATCTTTGCAGAACAGAGCCCAGGTAGTCCCTCTAGTGGTGGTCATAGTGACTGCCACTAGAGGTGTTCAGAGACAGCAGTGTTACACTGCTTGCATGAAGGAACAGGCTATATGCCACAGAATCACTATACGAAGCTGTATACTATACATTAAACTGTAGTAGTTCTAGTGACTATAGTGTCCCTTTAATCCTTGAAGGCAAGGTACCTCCATAATAATTTCATTGGGCTGAAGACTGTCCCGAGAAAAAATATGGCAGCAACAACAAGGAACAGCTTCTGGTAATTATAAGTACCCTGTACTGCGGCCTCTGCACTCTGAGCAGACATATCACCATTGTGTCCCTCTAACTGAGTGATTCATTAGAATAAAACACTGGTACCGTACCTGTCTGAAAGTACAATTCTCTGTTACTTAAAAATTACACATAAATCAGGCAAACATCTGAATACATTTACCATCTCAAACTTAATGAAAATATTTGCTAACCGATCGGTGTAACATGAAAATACTAAAATAAATAATAATAAATGTTTATATTGATAACTTAAAAAAAAAAAGTTTTTCTTGAAATACAGACCAAGCCCCCCTCCCATTGGAACAGTATGCACTTCTCTAACCAAGTTGACAGAAGAACACGGATTAATGCAACAAACATGTATTCCTAACACTATGGTTCCAATGGTGATATTTAGGGTCCCAGCCCCCTGTCAGAGGAGTAAAAGGTGAATTTACTCACCTTTCTTCCAGCACCCTGGGGTATCTGCGGTTGGCCCTGGCCCCGCCATGCCTCCTTGTCTGTTATCAAACTCGACGATCTCAGCCAATTCAATGTTTTTGCTACAGGAGCCGGGCTGGCCCATCCATAGACTGAGGCCCCTGTCATTATCTAATAGAATAATAATAATATCCCCGATCAGCCGCTATGAATGGAGCTGTGGGTGTCAATAGGAGTATTTCAATAAGATGATCCCTTAGTGAAATACAAGGAATCAATGCACCTCTATGAGGAACGTTCAATGCATCCATGCAGAGCATGAAGACGCTGAACGTCAGTGTTCCACACTATGCTACACTGATCCAGAAAGCACCTCTAGTGGCCATCTGAGTGACTGCACCTAGAGGTGTTCTAGGCAGCAATTCATTATAATAAAACACTTTCAGAGGATGAGGGGGTAGACACGGTGCAAGTGACTGAGATGAACACACACCAAAAGATGTGGATCAATATGGGTGAAGGAAGTGATATAAGGAAATCGGGTGGGATCAGCAACAAATGAAATTATCATGGTACAAATGGGAGATCACATAGTTCTCTTTTTTTATGGAGCCTTAAGGAGATCTAAGCAAAAACTAAATGAATCACTGAAAAGTGTCAAAATATTGTGAATATAGAATACTGTACAGTGTCTACCCCCTATCTACACAGATATAGGAGAGAGTAGGGAGTTATTATGGAGTACAATGTAAGTGAACATATAAAGTGACTGCTCCAATGTCTAACAAGCACAATAAGTGAGGCGGAATAGTTTGATGGCAAGACAGAACGAAAGATGTTAAGAGCGTGTAGGGTTGAAAGGAGAGAATGTTCAGAATGCGTGTCTGTATTTATAGCAAGAGGAGCGCTGCATTGAAATGGATTGCAAGCTTTGGCGTTGGATCATTATGGTCAGCGCAGAGCATAATAAGTAAATAGAATAATAAAAAAATAAAAAAACGAATCCAAACATTTTAAATATAAGATTTTAATTTTTTTTTCTTTTGCTGTTGCAGATTAAGCCGAAAAGATTAACTGGGAACTTTTACATTGGTCAAAATAAAGGGTGAAATTATTGACTAAATGTAGAATGTTAGAAAATACTTTAACCATTGGTATTCACCTGGCTTCCACCTTGTTTGGGCATTTATTGGTCAGACTATGTTATACTTTGTAAAATACTCGAACTTACAAGAAATTCCACTCCAGTGACAGCTATAGGACAATGTTAGTATGTACAGAGACTTGTGCGCACGTATGCGGCCGCTATGGGGAGATCAACATAAAAGTGTCACAAAGTGTTACATCAAGGGCTACCGTCAAGGTATTGACTAAACGGTTGATGGGGATCTACAGGTGATACTCGAAAAATTAGAATATCGTGCAAAAGTTCATTTATTTCCGTAATGCAACGTAAAAGGGGAAACTAATATATGAGATAGACGCGTTACATGCAAAGCAAGATCGTTCAAGCCGTGATTTGTCATAAGTGCGATGATTAGGGCTTACAGCTTATGAAAACTCCAACTCAACAATCTAAGTAAATTAGAATATTGTGAAAAGATGCAATATTCCAGGCTCACAGTGTCCCACTCTAATCAGCTAAGTAAGCCATAACACCTGCAAAGGGTTTCTGAGCCTTTAAATGGTCTCTCAGTCTGGTTCAGTAGGAATCACAATCGTGGGGAAGACTGCTGACCTGACAGTTGTGCAGAAAACCATCATTGACACCCTCCATAAGGAGGGAAAGCCTCAAAAGGTAATTGCGAAGGAAGTTGGATGTTCCCAAAGTGCTGTATCAAAGCACATTAATAGAAAAAGTTATGTGGAAGGGAAAAGTGTGGAAGAAAAAGGTGCACAAGCAGCAGGGAAGACCGCAGCCTGGAGAGGATGGTCAGGAAAAGGCCATTCAAAAGTGTTGGGGACTTTCACCAAGAGTGGACTGAGGCTGGAGTCAGTGCATCAAGAGCCACCACACACAGACGGATCCTGGACATGGGCTTCAGATGTCGTATTTCTCTTGTCAAGCCGTTTCTGAACAACAAACAACGTCAGAAGCGTCTTACCTGGGCTAAAGAAAAACAGACCTGGTCTGTTGCTCAGTGGTCCAAAGTCCTCTTTTCTGATGAGAGCAACTTTTGCATCTCATTTGGAAACCAAGGACCTAGAGTCTGGAGGAAGAATGGAGAGGCACACACTGCAAGATGCTTGAAGTCCAGTGTGAAGTTTCCACGGTGTGTGTTGATTTGCGGAGCCATGTCATCTGCTGGTGTTGGTCCACTGTGCTTCATTAAGTGCAGGGTCAACGCAGCCATCTACCAGGAGATTTTGGAGCACTTCATGCTTCTTTCCGCAGACTAGCTTTATGGGAATGCTGACTTCATTTTCCAGCAGGACTGGGCACCTGCCCACACTGCCAAAAGCAACAAAGCCTGGTTTAATGGCCGCGGGATTACTGTGCTTGATTGGCCAGCAAACAAGTACTGAGTCCATATGTATGCATAGAATTTTCAGAGGTCCAATATTGTTCTATGTACACTCCTTGTTTTATTGATTGCATGTAATATTCTAATTTACTGAGATTGTTGAGTTGGGGTTTTCATGAGCTGTAAGCCATAATCATCGCACTTATGACAAATCACGGCTTAAACTATCTTGCTTTGCATGTAACGCCTCTATCTCATATATTAGTTTCCCATTTTACGTTGCATTACTGAAATAAATTAACTTTTGCACGATATTCTAATTTTTCGATTATCACTTGTATGTCAGATAAAGCAGCAATCTGCATTGCTTAATATGGACTTGTTGATTATTACAGTATTTCTCTTTTAATCCTCCTATATGGTAATTTTTAAATGCTGAAGAAACACAAAAGTATAACACACAAATCTCAAGTACATTTTAAAAAAAATTAAATTCACCTACCTAAACTACCGGAAGCGAAGGCGGATTGTAGTGCAGCAGCAAATCCTGGGACCATTTGTTGATAATAAATAGTGTCTGGGCAGACACAGGCTGTAGCACCCACAGCTCCCGGCCAACTTCGAATAGGTCTTGGAAACGCTACCAGAAACACCGGCAGTGTAAAAAGTGCAAGTAAGGGCGAGGACAGCACTGCCGAGAGGACGACAAACATCAGCACCAAAGGGAAGAAGACAATGTTTAGTGTAATTAAACTGGTTGTTGATTTCCGTCGTTGTTTCTTCTCGGTCCACGACGTCAGGAGGACAGTGACAGCAAACTGAAGTTTGGATACTAGCTTGCATAGTCTGTCTCGGATCAAAGCAACCTGCAAAAAATATATGATGTTGAAAATCAAAGGTTACATTTTAACAAACTAAATCCACTGTCATTTTTTTTAGCTATTTGTCATTTGTCATGAGCACCGGTATTCCTAAACTCCCTAGAAATTGGAAACTGAATATGACATTTTTTTTTACATGAGTCAAAAATATATTGACCCAGAATCACAATACAGAAAAAAACTGAGAGTCCCACACCACGCGGAAACGTTTAGGAATCTAACAATACAATACTACAATGCAAATAACATTAAAGTATGAAGTTGGCATGTTTATGTAATTTAACATGCTAGAATATTGTCACTGGTATATAGACTAACACATGCTTGCCATGCCTTTAATTACTACTTTTTAAAACAGAAACTGATCAGCTCCATGGCTTAGACAAACAGAATGTGTGCACCTCATGTTGTAGTAAGTGTTGTTAAAGATGCCGTATATATAAAGGTGCCCATAAATGAAATTATATAACACTCCGTGGTATTACATTAGGATTTACAGTACTCCTGTCATGGTGAAATGATGGCCTATTATGCACATCGGTCCCACAGTGCTATATATGCTAAGCAACGTGCGACTGAGTTGGATTCATCGAGGTCTGTAATACAGATATCAAACTAAGCCTGGCAAATGTAAAACTGGATTATACATTGAATTTTATTACTACCTAAAAGGGTTACTCCACTCACTATGACCACTTCTGTGATTTGTAGTGGTCATGGTGACTGGAGTCTGTAGGAGCAGCACTTTGCTATTATTATTTGCTATTATTTATAAAGCACTGACAATTTCCGCAGCGTTGTGCAATACGTGGACTAACAGACAAGTATTTGTAACAAGACGAGTTGTACGCGCAGGAACAGAGGGTGCCTTCTCAATCCAGCTTACATTCTAGAGCAGGGGTGCCCACAAGGTAGATCCCCAGATGTTTTAAAACTACAGCTTCTAAAGGCATGAAAAGCATCATGGTAGTAGTAGTTCTATAGTTCTAACATCTGGGGATCTACCTATTTGGCACCCCTGTTTTAGAGGAAGTGGCGTTAAGTGACACAAGAGGTAAAGGCAGGATGTATTTCATGTACGGCTGCTAAAAGAAATTAACATTTTTTTTGGATGACACAGTAGCAAGGTGGGTTACTGAGGTTTGTAGCAGGAAAGCTATGAAAAGCTGCACATACAGAGTTTAACCCCTTTGCTGTCGGAGGTATAACTCCACGTCTGGCAGAGTCATTGAGACGTCATTAGCCAACTGGAACCAACAACTTTGAACTGGGTAAAGTCAATTATGTACATATTCCTATACACATACACTCATTCATTAGCGGAGAGCGGTCAGCTGGCTGGTACACCACACAGATTCTTTTTACTATATAACATAAAATGCCAATCATTTTCGATGACTACTAAATAAGTCCTAAACATTATTTCACTTTAGGGGACACAAATAACTCGGCCAGTGTCAGAAGGAAATGGAAAAGATTACCAGCAGAAGCTGAATTCCTGTGTTTAGGCTTGCGTTCCACCAAACGTTTGTGTCGAAAACAATTAGCTGGATTACAGATACAATCACCATTTCCAACATGGCGTTCTCTGTATTCTGCCAGATCTAAAGAAAAAACAAAAACATTTGAACATTTGGTAATTGTAATCGACATCTTTAAATACTGAATATCTGTTTGATAAGAAAAATAAAATAAAAAGACAAACATTTAATTACCAATATTTTTTAGTTCCCAAATGTATTTTGCATATTTTACTATAGACAATAAACAAACAATTCTGGGAAAGTGTAATTAAGTTGCGTTATTATTCCTACAAATTTGTGACCACTGTCTCCTTTGGTTTGTATTTTTCTATATACGAGTGAGAGTACAACACTGATGTCTATGGTGGATATAGCGAGACCACAGGAGGCTCCATACATATTATCTGGTGATAGCGAGATAATGTCTTATTCCCCTAGCCATTTCTGGTGATGGCTGCGTTAAGGGACAAAGCTTGATGGCGATATCTCTGCCTTAAAGACACTGTAGTCACTATTACTTGATATCTTTTGACTGCTAAAGCTTTTGAATGAGACAGTTGTCTCGAAGTGATGTGTGTCCCTTTGGCCATTGCGTTAAGTTTGTGTATTCTAAACAAACATTAAAGAGTAAAGCAGCTTGTTATTCATGATTTTATACCTTTTATCAACCCTTTCACTACTAGGAACATTGCATAAACTCTGCAACCCAACATTTATAAGAGACTGCAAAAAAATAAAGTGAAACATTTACTTTAAACATAGGTTACCCAGTCAGAACACAAGTAATATTTGCTACTCATATACCCCATAATTTTATGTGCAGTTTATGGGCACTAGATTTAAATTTTCCATTATTACAAAAAACATTTACCATTTATTATTCCACTACATAAATATTGTTAGATAAAATATAAGAGAGTTTACAGTTACCCTTTCACAAAATGAGGGCATGCGATGCCACCTTACAAAAACAGGGGCTTAAATGCTGTAAGGGTGGCATAGCACGCCCTAACAATCGGGTTCTCCCTGCAGACAGCATGCTCGCCCTCCTCACCATATCCGATTGGGGAAACTGCTTGGCAACCAAGGCAGTCCCCCTGCAACCAATCCTGCCGATCTGAGTCACTGCATTCACATGACTTAGATTGGCTGCATTGCAAGACTGACTGCAGGGGGACTGCAGATCACCCAAAATATAATTTGTAAAATAATTTAATGATGTATAAATCATATTTAAATATACACTTAGAAAGAATACATATATTATTTCATTCTGTGTGTATGTTTATATATTTTTACATAATTATGTGATTTTATTATTATATATTTAGAAACCTGACTGACAACCCAGGCAGAAAGTCTAGAGAATTTAATTTCAAGTCTTATATTTGACTCTGCAACTTTCCAAAATGCAATAAAACCTGGACACGGGTACATTGTGAGACATTGCTGAGCACAAATATGAGTGTTTTAGAGCAGTAAAATCTATAATGACGATATCATTGGTGAAATGGCAGACTGTGTGAAATATGCAAAAACCAAATACGAATGCTAACTTTGGCCAGGGTTTGTGACTAAGTGGCTACTAAAACGATTGGACACTTTAAATACCCTGGGTTGTCTACTTTTTCAAATGGTATGCCATATGGTATGCCATAATGTCTCAAAGGCAACATAACCAAACTGGAAAATTTCGGTGTGTAAAAACTGTAATGGGTAAAGCCCTATTTGACCCTGTAACTTTCCAAAACCTCATAAAACCTGTATGTGTGGGGTACTGTTGTGAGACATTGCTGAACTCAAATATGTGTATTTCATTGCACTAAAAGCAAACAGTATTATGACATTCACAGTTAAAATACCACACAGAACTCACACTATTTTACATTTTTTTTATTCGAAATGAAAGCCCTGTTCCTCCTATACAAATTATATATAAGTGTTACTCCAAACACCACAACCACCTCAGTGATCTGAAGTGGTCATGGTGCCTGGAGTATTTATGTGAATTGCCTTGCTGTGAAAATGCTGCACATACCGAGATTAATCCCTTAGCTTCTGGAAGTGTAACTCCACCTTAGGCAGCATCACTAGTCAGCCTAGAAGTTCCGGGCGAGCTAATGTTAATTATTTGCAAAGTTGGCATCGGACTCCAGCACATACAGCATGCTGGTGCCAACCTGACAATAGCAGCATGGCCACCCCCTCCGTGTAACTCCCATCTCTCTCCCCTTATGGTAAGGGGGAGTAAAATCAATGAAGGAGGATTGGGCTGAGGGGAGAACTTGGACCCTGTGAAGGAATGGGGGTGAGTTCAGGGGAGGTGCCAGGAGGTTAAGGACCTTAAGGGATTCAATATTTCACCCATCATGCCCATCTGTCCTTCTGTTTTCTAAAATTCTCTAAAGCGGAAAGTTCTTGCTCACTGATTGGCTGAAAGCGGTCAGCTGTTGCTCTCTGTGAATCCCCATTCATGAAACTGGCTTGAAAAAAATAGTATGTTTCTTTTTAGGCTAGTTTTCTGAATGATATTCACTGATTGGACAAGAGAATCAGCTGAGCGTCTCAGAGAATTTTAGAAAATAGAAGGGCAGAGAGATTCAGTGCTGGAACACAGACTTTCGGGTTAAACCGTTCCAGAATGGTGCAACCGCTTAAAGTGAGCCAGCACCAGGGACCTTCTGGCACCATAACAACTCTTTTGATGCAGTTGCTATGGTGCTTGGAGTGTTCCTTTAACTTCAATTGGTTTAAATGTAAAGCTTCTGCAGGAAGTGTTTGCAAATATACTGTTTGATAACTGCTGTGCTAGTTTCTAACAGCGCTCGAAAATAAAGAGCTGGGTTGGGAACGGTACAGTGTGAGCGCACACTCGGCACAGCTCCTGCAAGCTCACAAGTTTGACTTGAACAGATTAACATGAAAGCTATACTTCTAAATGATATCCAAGGATTGGGATATGTTGTGGATAGCAGTGATTTACTGACAGCTAAAGAAATAACTGGGAATTGGATAATGGGATTCTACTAACTGATTCACTGTACCATGGCCACTACAATGAGCCATACTGGTAACAGTATTGGGGAGTGTATCTTTTTAAAGGGACACTGTAGGCATTGTAACTGCTTAATCTCACTGAAGTGGTTATAGTGTCTGGAGTCCCCAGTGGCTGTCCTTTCATTCAGCATTGAACCATTTTAATGTTTTGATCCTAAACAAAAGAAGCCAGCAGCCAATCCCTTCTGTGCTTCTTGGGCTAATGAGAAAACATTAGTCTGAGCAGCAATGGGCAACCATTATTGGCTTTCAGTGTCAGCTGATTAATTTCAGTTTATCACAGTTCCCATTAGAGAAAGTGTGTAATCTCTGCCTTAGATATAACTCCAGTGGGAGCCGAGCTGTGGACGGCATGGGAGCCTTATTTAGTATTAAACTACTTGAAAATGTTTTAACACTGAATGAAGGGACATCACCAGGGGACTCCAGGCACCGTACCAAATTCAATGAGATGAAATGGTTACAGCGTCCCTTTTAAATGCCTTTGTGATACACTGAGGAGGATGGGATACTTGTTTTACCCAGGATAAACAATAACTCTGTTAATCACAAGTGGCCACATTTGTACACTCAAACACAGATAAATAATAGATTTAAATGATGAATATATGACAATAATACTTTACCATTCGATAAGCTCTTGTGAAGCCGATGCAAACAGATACTGAATTGACCGTATTTAGAGAAGTGTCCAGTGAGAGGTACGCTAGCATAGTGAAAGGGGATACTGAAAATAAAATGCAAGTACAAAATTCACTTTCTGTGACCCAGAGCAACATTTTAAATACATTTGGGCTCACTGATACACAAATGCAAAGTAACAAGATTAAAGGAACACTCTAGTCACCTAAATTACTTTAGCTAACTAAAGCAGTTTTAGTGTATAGATCATTCCCCTGCAATTTCACTGCTCAATTCACTGCCATTTAGGAGTTAAATCACTTTGTTTCTGTTTATGCAGCCCTAGCCACACCACCCCTGGCTATGATTGACAGAGCCTGCATGAAAAAAAAAAAAAATTGTTTCACTGTCAAACAGATGTAATTTACCTTAAATAATTGTATCTCAATCTCTAAATTGAACTTTATTCACATACAGGAGGCTCTTGCAGGGTCTAGCAAGCTATTAATATAGCAGGGGATAAGAAAATCTTAATTAAACAGAACTTGCAATAAAGAAAGCCTAAATAGGGCTCTCTTTACAGGAAGTGTTTATGGAAGGCTGTGCAAGTCACATGCAGGGAGGTGTGACTAGGGTTCATAAACAAAGGGATTTAACTCCTAAATGGCAGAGGATTGAGCAGCGAGGCTGCAGGGGCATGTTCTATACACCAAAACTGCTTCATTAAGCTTAAGTTGTTCAGGTGACTATAGTGTCCCTTTAACTAAAAACAGTCCATTGACTGGTTTTAAAGGGTAGATCTAATTACATTTCTCAGTTCTCTTAACAATTTCTTCCAGAGAAAGGACGGCTTTCTGGACTCCATAAAAAAATGGAGAAAAATTAAAATGGAGGTTACTCTAGGGAGGTTTAGGATTTGGGGTTGAATGCAGCATGACATGTGACACTAGGAAAACTGACCTGATGGTGGCTTAATAAATAAATTGTGAGCCTTCTATATATGCCGTTTTTTAATGACAGTTGATATCAATTTACTCTCTATGACATAAAGGAACAAAATTTCTTTTGCCCAGAAAATAAAATCGTTTTAGTTGATTGAGGATACACGGCTTTTCAAGCTACGGATGGATTGGGTCCTTGCAAACAATTCGAGAAAAAGGATTCAGACAAACCAAAAGGGTGCAAATATTATCCAATCAGTGCGCTGTGAAATATAAATATACTTTGCAGTACACTGATAAGAACATTTATTAAAAACATTTTGGTTCACAGATCAAGATAGAAAAAGTAACGAATGGAGGGAGAAGGAGGTGGAGCAGTAAAATAAATCTATATGTATATACTAAAAATATAATGTATAAATGCAGGTTATTTTTTAATTTACTGCTCATTTTTGTCTTCCCCTCTTTTAATCGCATCTGTGGTTACAATGAAGAGTTTGCGGCCATCCTGCAGCCATCAATAACCTTTTTTTGACACCACGGACGGAATTCTGATTAACAAATCAAATGAAACCATTCCAGCATTGCCCATTTAGTTTATTTAGTGATTCATCCATAGAGTATTGCAGAGTTTGGCATCTCGATTGAACTGCTGATCAGATGAATCACAGTTTGAGAGAAACCGAATGCACAAGTCTAATGGCAAGCACTGTTATGCCGCCTCTATGCACCTTGTCTTATAGACACAGTGATTTGCAAACATTGCTACGGTTATAAGTCAGCCTCTCACTCAAACACAACAAAGAGGTACTACCCTTGTCCCGGTCATACGTGTAGATCTACGAGAATGCCTGCTGGTGGGCAAAAGCAGGTCCAATTCCCATCTTCTCCACGAATTACTATCAGTTTGGGCTGCACCTTAGCAAAAATAACTGCAGCCAGTCCTGATCTGCATATTCCATAAATCTCTGGTGGGCAGGGACTTATAGGATGTGCTCAGCTCTCCCAAACACAGAGTAATTGGTCTGATTGGGAGTAAAACAATATATTACAATTCATTTTGGATCATGTCATTACGACAGACCCATAGAAGCAAGTCTTTATTTTCCGAACTATACTAGGGATTAATCGATGCATGCAATGTTACACAGATAACATTCCCTGTGGCATCTTACCTAATGTGAGCAATATTCTCCGGACGATAGCCACTTTCTGTAACCTGCTTTGTTTTTTCATGAAGACATTTAAGATCCGAATATCATTCTGGAAGAAGGGATTCCGTATTATCCCCAAAAGATAAGCACCTTGAATTTCTTGAAGAAGCCATAAAAAAACTAAAATGACTATTAAGCAATAGCCAACTATAGCCTGTGGACTTTGCAGGGAATACACAGAAGAGCAGAAACAATGTAACAAGCTTGCTTCCAGGAGGGAAATGATGAGAACAATGAAGTAAAACAGACTCTCTTTCCAAATCATTTGTGGATGAAATGAATTGAATGAACTGCTTAATTTCGAAAGGGAGAAACGTCTGGAAAAATAATTCTGGACAATTATACCAAATTCTGCTAGGTTAAGACTGAGCAAAAATCCAAATCCAGTAATGAATAAAACCAGGCCAAGAGATGACGGAATAAAGTAGGCCGATACAGTGACCCCAGCCGATACAAGAAATATTATCAGCAATCTGAAAAAGAGGAAAACAATATTTTTTTCCCCCAAATAATATAGCAGCATTCTTTGCACAATAAAAAGATAAAAACATATGTCTTTTACCTTAAGTTACTTGACATGGGCGAGCCTCCGAGGACAAACTCCAGCGTTTGTTCCAAACCCCAAAGTACTAGTGCGTCCAGGGGAGGCAGGATTCCCAGTGCCCAAAGAAATGGTAAAAACAAAAACACAACATGCAAGACTTGGTTGGCCCACACTAAGGATGGCACGGTCACAAGAAACCTGAGAAAAAAGTTTTGGGGAAAATTATGAAAGGAGGGCTGAAAAATATAGTAATAAGTATTGTAAGGGAGCACAGTATAGAGGTAACATCGAATTTAACAATTCTAATCTCTACTTCCCTTACTGTCCCTGTATCCGACCATCCGTTCCTGGCTCAAAGAAGCAAGGTGAATTGTTAGTGGAGGACTCACCTAAGAGTTCTGACTTGATGGGGCAGGAGAGCTTACACTTTAATGACCATTGAAGTGATACTAAAAAAACACCAGTTAAATACACATAGGGATCTGGGATAGAGCGCAGGTAACTTTAAAAAAAAAAAATACTATAAATGTAATAACTTAAAGGACCACTCTGAGAACTATAACAACTTCATCTCAGAGACGTCGTTATGGTGTCTAGATGCACTAGGGGCAATATTTTCTTATGTTTTGGAACAGTTTAACCTCAAATACTAATTCCAATATCTCCACTCTCTGCTGCCACAGCTTCCACAAAGAAGTATTTCCCTGGGCGCTGGTGATAGAATGAGAGCCAGCTGCCACTTTCAGCCTATGACTGGCCACCTATTGAAAGAAATGCTTTAGAAATACATATATTAAAAGCAGATGTCACACTGTTCTTAGGGATAAAGGTAAACACTGCAGGGACAGAATCTTTACTCAACCTTCCCCCCCAATACATTAAAGGAGAGCCCAGTTCTCTAAAGCGTGTTAGCTTGCTGTGTGAAGAGTGTGTCCTATTTTTACATTTTGTAAATAGTGCAGATTTCAATAGAAATTGACATTTTTATAAATTGACCTGGTTACACCCCCTTACTGTCAAACAGACAACCGGTCTTGTTACTTCCTTGTTTGTTTGACTCAGTGCAACTACACTCAAAGAGGCAGAAATTACCCAGAGCACCTGCCTTACAAAGACTTTTCATTGAGCTGCATTGGGAAGTCTGTGATTGGACAGGCACAGAAAGTCTGGGCAGAGTTAGACAGGGAAGGGTTTGCAAATGCTGCAGACAAGAGAAATGCTTTTGTATTTGGGCAGTAGAGTGTCCCTTTAGCTGTAGTAGTACTGTTGCTGGTGCTAAGTGTCCTTTTAATTACTCTAAAATAAAATAAAAAGAATAACAACAATTTGCAATGAGCACATGTACAAAACAGTGGAGCACAATATTTCCTGGCTACAACTACTACACCCCAAATCGCTGACTGAGACTGCATTCTAAAGTGAGATTTAGGGGTAAAGTTAACGTGACACTGTCACTTAAGTTCTTCACAGATATAGAATCGATGGATAACATATTTGGAAATCTAACATTTCTTAACTACACCCTACAACTGTAACTCTACAGTAACCAGCCCGATGATATATTCAAACATAAAATACGGTAACGTCACAATACAATTGGTATAAAAAAAATTTTAAGAAATTTACCTGTAAGCAATGTCGACAGCAATAAAGGCAATTATATAGACAGGTCTCAGGAGTGCAGTAATTTCGTAAGTATCCTGGGCCTGAAATGTAGCAGTCTCTGCTGCAGAGTTGACAATTAACGAATATTCCCCGATACATAATGTAACCCACCCAAATATAAATATCATCACCGTTCCTCCAGTATTGCTGTACAACAACTGTATTCTCGTCGGTAACAGATACCAGGTCCCCAGTCCGCATAACACCCCAGCAAAAATGGAATGAAATACAAGATTTACTATGAATTTCTTGCCCGGAATTATAAATTTCACAGTTTCTATGCCAAGGCAGCTAGAGAAATCGTACTCGTCTTCATCGGTTAGGGCACTTTGGTTTTGCAGTCTTTCTACAGTTGATGTCTTGCGTCTGGCATGTTGGTTTAATAGCTGGATAACAAATGCTGCGATGAGCATCAATGCTCCTGAGAGTACCGCTGTGTAATAGTCTTCTAGAATTCCGACTTCGTACAGCACAGTACCTACACCTCCCAGTACCCATGGTGTCAGAAACAGAAGGATCTGATTGATGTAAATATAAGGAGGGGCACTGTACCCCAATTTAAACCGAGGACCCCCTAGAAAAGTCTGTGGAAAGCGCTTCCAAAAGAACTCCTGCTTATAATCATTTAGCAAAGGAACATCTGGACCCATTCTTCTTAATCAGAAGTCCTGGTAGTGAATCATTTCGCACACAGTGGAATTGAACCTGTATATATAAATGCACACGTAAATTATAAAGCGATTCGAATATTAAGTAACATACATATAAATGCATCATAGAATTCTAAATAAGCTATTTATATAATAAATGATTTACAGCAACATGGGCCTTATAATGACGACATGATATTCCTTAAAGCTGATGTGTCCCTTTTCTTCCTCGTGATAGATTATGGGTGAATCCGATTGGTAACTGGAACAGAACTTTGGTTTAAGCTCCGTATATTGTCACCTTGACTACTTTACATGAGGAAAAGTAGTTCCAACCTTTCCTTATGCGTTTCATGAAAATTAAAGCGTTCAAAAAAAAATAAAAATAAAAAAAAAGCATACTGGATGAAGTTTATTTCTTGTTACAGATCTGCTTTAAAGGGACACTATAGGCACCCAGATCACCTCAGCTCATTGAAGTGGTCCAGGTGCGATATTACTGTGCCACTTACTCCTGCAATGTAAATCATTGCGGTTTTTGAGAAACTGCAATAATTACATTGCAGGACTAAGACTGCCTCTAGTGGCTGTCAATCAGTCGCCTAAATGACACTGGACGTCCTCATGCTATATGAAATCCCCATAGGAAAGCATTGAAGCAGTCCTGCTCCAATCAGCATCTCCCAATAGGGTCTATAGGCAACGTTCAGCTTAACTCCAGTTCTGCATACAGTGTAACACTGAAACAGGAAGAACTCCTAGTGGCTGTCTGAGTGACTGCACCCAGAAGGGTTACCAGGCAACCAATCAATCCTTACATTAAAACCCCTACAGAGACAGGCTAAGGAGACCAGTACAACTACATAAGCTGTATACTATACATTCACCTGTAGTTGTTCTGGTGACTATAGTGTCCCTTTAACATAACTTAGCTGAATGAAAGACATAAATATACTTTCACGTACAAACAACCCTTTAAACATATTCAAGAGAACGAGAGATAGAAAGCAACACATTTAGAGTATACTAGCAGGTACATTTAATCCCTTTAACATATGCGGTAGAATGAGAGGCAAAACAAATAGAATGTACCAGGAAATCCCTAGCTAGGAAAGGATCAATTCTACTGGGAAAAAACACAGAAAAACATAAACAGAGGAACAGTCAGAAATATAATGATCAGAATTACCAGCAAAAAGAATGGATTTTCTGCTTTGATTGGCATCACAAGTTTGGGATTTCCTAAAATAAATAAATACAAAAATCAGATTACCGGTAATATAAGCGAGTAATTACACAGAAGAAATTATTAGCACATTTTATTTGATGAATTATTGGGGGAGCCGATCTTAAAATTTAATGGCTCTAAGCTTAAATAGAAAACTTAAAAATGTAGATATTTAAATGATCACTATAGTGTCAGGAAAACACTGGGCTGAATGGGTTAAAACCGCTTCAGCTACTTACTTTAATCCAGCGCCTGGCTCCCTCAGCGCTGGTGACCTCTCCTCCCACTCCAACGTCAGCTCCTGAGTGGAGCCGAATGCACAAGTGGAGCCAGAGCCGCTGAGTGGAGCCAGAGCAGCGCGCACATTAAAAATGCCCATAGCAAAGCATTTCTCAATGCTTTCCTATGGACGTTCTGCACGCTGAATGCAATTTTCGCATTCAGAGTCGCAGAAGCGCCTCTAGCGGCTGTCAGGGAGACAGCCACTAGAGGCTGGATTAACCCTGCAATGTAAACAGCAGTTTCTCTGAAACTGCTATGTTTACATCTGAAGGGTTAAAACCTGAGGGACCTGGCACCCAGACCACTTCATTGAGCTGAAGTGGTCTGGGTGACTATAGTGGTCTTTTAATTTAATTCTTCAGGTTGGGTTTTTTTTTGTTTTTAGACTTAGGCCCCCCTTTTTAAAAACCAAACACCTCTTTAAAGTCACCTGTAATTTAGCGCAAGGTCAATCTCCTCTGTGCAGCCAACCCACCTCTTCTGAAAACAACAGTTAATGTTTCTCATAGAAAAGCGTTGAGACCTAGGGTTACTGTCACTGCATCCTACCAATCTAATGCTTCTCTTTGAGAACCAGTGAATTCAATGATTGCTATTAACGGTGTTCAGCGTCATCATGCGGTGCGTGATGACGCCAAACACAAAGTCCTTCGCAAATCAAAGGTCTTCAAATAAGAAGTGTCTCGAGTCAGTATTTTGGTTTAGCCAAAATGTAAACTTTGCAATATCTCACAAACAGTAATGTTTTACATTGTCAGACAAGGACAGGGTCTATGCACTATAAGCACTTCATTGAGATGAAGTGATCTGGGTGCAGTTGTCCTGTCATTTTAATCATTCAAGTTTAAACACTGCCGTTTTGTAGAAACAGTAATAGGTATATTTCAGAGTAAAATACACCTCCAGTGGCTATCTTCCTGAGAGTCACTAGATTAGCTTCCTGCTGGAACCAAATGCGGCTTATAGTAATATTTGATTGGAAGAACATGGTGCTTGGCAGCGCGTGTGTATCTCCAATCCAATGCTTCTCTCTGAGAAGCATTGGGTTGGACGGGATCTTGGAGGACATGAGCAGGCATGCGGACATCTTTGAAGGTGGAGCTGGTGGCTGCAACTGAGGAGTCTCGCTGCTGGAAACAAGATCATTAATCATTATTTCATTATTTAAATAAAATTTTCTTACTAGCAAAGAGGGGTGGGAGGAATCCAGGAGAAGTTGCGTAAAGTTTCTGTGACATTTACATTTTGTCTATTAGAATGATTTCATCCTATATAGAATTGAATCTAGACTCTCAAGGAAAGGTTACACATTAACATTTCAACCCACTTCAAGTCACTTTCTACATAAAACAATATTGTTCTAAACACATCTCTTAGCGAACAAGTTAGTCTTACTTTTAAAGAGCTCAAAAAAATAGAACTTTAAAAAAAAAAAAAAACATACCTTAAATCAATCATTCTGTGTTGGAGCAAAAAAATAAAAACAGCTATTTCACTCCAATGTTTTTATTAAATGTATCTTGGCTTTTAAATTCGCCCTTCTCTTCTGCCTGAGCAGTTTTTTGTTACAGGTTTTGAAAAGTTTTGTATTCGTTCTCTGAAAGTTCCCTTAGTAATTGTAAACTAAACACGTAGCAACCCTCAAACACAGTCACAGGACACCAGATATTCAGGTGACTGCCCTGTGAGTCAGACTTGTTTGCACTTTTCCAAGTGAGAGTGTTAACCCATCAAGGACAAAGCCTAATTTGGCTTGTTAACAAAACAAGTATGTAAACTTACACTTTTACTACTTTTGGTTCATTTGTACCATACCATTGCTGATACACCCACACTCATTTTTTTGGTTTTAATAGGGCTTTGCTATAAAATATCTATAAATATGTTCTTATTTAATAAAAAAATAATAATTCCCCCCTAATGGTTTTGTCTCTAATAATACAGTGTTTCCCCGAAAATAAGACATTCCCGGAAAATAAGCCCTAGTCGTTCGCTAATCTATGTTCGGGGAAGTTTCCTGGAACATAGACTTGCGGTATTCTATTAGCGAATAAGCTAATCAGTGTTCGGGGAAGTTTCCTGGAACATAGACTTGCGGTATTCTATTAACGAGAGCGGGAGTTTGAAAGATGGCTACTGCTCTTATTTTTTTTGTTTATTTGCGCTAACAGTTGTATGCATTGAAGCAGGTAGGAATAACTGTAGCTGAAATAAAACATTTTTGTTGCATACACTAAGTAGGACAAAATTAATTTTTTTTAAATGGTCAAACAATCTGCGTATGAGTATCTTTTTAGGAAGCTGTAGCAGGATTTGGGAATACAGCTTCCAAAAAAGACCTCAGAATGTAAAGCGGTTTGTATATTAACATATTGCTCACCTACATTAAAGGACTACTCTAGGCACCCAGACCACTTCAGCTTAATGAAGTGGTCTGGGTGCCAGGTCCTTCTAGGGTTAACCCATTTTTTTTTATAAAGAGAAACTGCTATGTTTATCAATGGGTTAAGCCAGCCTCCAAATCCTCTAGTGGCTGTCTCATTGACAGCCACTAGAGGCGCTTGCGTACTTCTCGCTGTGATTTTCACAGTGAGAGCACGCAAGCGTCCATAGGAAAGCATTGTAAATGCTTTCCTATGCGACGGGCTGAATGCGCGTGCAGCTCTTGCCGCGCGTGCGCATTCAGCCCAGGAGGAGGATCGGAGGAGGAGAGCTCCCCGCCCAGCGCTGGAAAAAGGTAAGTTTAAACCCCTTTCCCCTTTCCAGAGCCGGGCGGGAGGGGGTCCCTGAGGGTGAGGGCACCCTCAGGGCACTATAGTGCCAGGAAAACGAGTATGTTTTCCTGGCACTATAGTGGTCCTTTAAAAGGACACTTCACACACTTCATTTTCCAGAAAGTGACGATTTCAATATAAATTACCCTTGTTACTCCCCCCGGCTGTTAGTCAGACAATTGGTCCTGATACTTCCTGGTTTGGTTAGCTCAGTGGAACTAAGCTCAAGAGGCAGCAATTGCCCAGAGCACCTGCCTTGGGAAGTCTGTGATTGGACAGAAACAGAAAGTCTGGGCGGGGTTAGAAGTGGAGGGCTTGCAAAGGCTGCAGACAAAAGATCTGCAGCTATTGCAAGCTGTTTTTAGCTATAACCCCAATGGGAAAAAAATGCATACACCGTGTTTCTTTAAGCGTAGTTACACCATGTATTATAATTGCATACTGCCACTTGAGCCAGCTCAGAATGTCTGTACTTTATCAGAGGCCTCATACTCCAGGCCACCAATTGATCACAGGAAGCCTAATACAATTCCTCTCAGCCATACCTTCCAACAATGGGTGGCAATGGAAGGGTTTATACAATTGATGTCGGTATTATAGATCTACATCAGGCATCCTTTCAATAGGGAAATACATCATAATTTAAGTGGGTTTTTGGAACTTCCTTATTAGAGAGATTGTAAAGTCAGATCTATCACAGGGGAAATAGCCAACAGAGCTAAGCCTTCACTAAACTAACGAGAAATAGATCGACTTCGAGGTTGCTATCTATCTATAATAAGAAATAAAGGAAAGGAAGGCTTGAAAAAAAAGCTATCACTTATAGTGCTGTCAAAATGAACACACTTAGCCAAGCTGTCGAAATACTCACTAAGTAAATGAAAGCTGGAGGCTAATGTGGAAAAAAAACACCATTTAATGAGGGAGAGTCCGTCCCTGCTGTCTGCTATAAATGCCCTCGATCAGGCTTCCCCAAACTCCGGCCCTCCAGATGTTGCTAAACTACAACTCCCATGATTCTATGAATGAAACAGGCTGAGAATCATGGGAGTTGTAGTTCTGCAACATCTGGAGGGCCAGAGTTTGGGGAAGCCTGCCCTAGATAGACCCCATTAGAGAGTTTCCCCTCCTAAGATGACCTATTCCAAGTTTCCAGGTGTTGTTACCGTTTATTTCATTTAAGTAGCCGCCTGCTTTCTCCTATTGGGATTGCAGAGCTTAATAGCTCCTTTAAGGGATTATAGGTTATGTGATGTTGTGTATGTGCCTCTTATGTTCCTTTTTAATATACTTTAATAAATTGTGGTTTTATATTTTTCTTACATACCTGTAGGGACTTTATGTCCACAGGCCACCTCAGTGTACGGTTATATTCTATTCTGTACTGCTTTCAATAGACATTGAATGATAACACAAAGAAAAATACACATAAATAGCCCTAATTAAACTCCATTATGTATTCGACGTGTGCATTAATGCTCTTCAGCTGGGAGTGACAAATCAAATTCCTTTTAATTTTGTCCTAACTAAATGGATCCATCCAGGATTTACCTGTGGAGTTTCATTCATCGAGGAGCATTGAACAGGCGGATCCAAGAGGATCGATCAGGACCGGCTTGTTCCTTGTGACACCCAGACACACCGTTTTGACTCCCAAAAGTAAACGCATACCGTAAAGCCCTGCGCAACATGAAATGTGCAGAGTGTGTGATGTCCTTATTGTTTATGAATATTATTTACTTTGCAGGGCTATAAGAAGGGGCTGAAACCATGACAAGTATTATAACCAAAATGAGCGTCAACCAGAATATATGTTTTACTTTAATTTTTTTCGGAAAGCTTACGGCGGTCAAATCGAAGGTTAAAAATATGTATATATTGATCTGTTTTCTATTTTTAGAACACTTTGTAAATCAACGTCCATTACCATTAATTGTGAGTTATGTTATATGTTATGTACTCTGTAATGTAAAAGTGATCTAAAAACCAAAATTATAGTAACACATCACTTTGTAACCATGGGGTGGGGGGGGGTCCATGTAAAACAAGGTATAAATTAAAAATGCAAATACATAATGTTGATAAATAAAATATTACTGCATTTCTGTAACCTTACGATGTCAAGGTGCCGGATGCTAGTAACTGGGACCGATCGGTCACCCCAACAAATTAATTACCCTTAAAGTCCAAATATCCCATTGTGTTCTAATACAATGTAATTACAAACCCTATTGCATATGTAATTAACCTTCAAAGTAAATCAGCCCCCCGTTTCCCACACAATGTAATTAACCCTTACATTGCAATCGTCCCCTGTATACCAATTTAGTGTAATTAACCCTTGCAGTGCAGGGCTGTGTGGTTAACCCTTGCAGGGCTGTGTAGTTAACCCTTGCAGGGCAGGGCTGTGTAGTTAACCCTTGCAGTGCAGGGCTGTGTGATTAACCCTTGCAGTGCAGGGCTGTGTGATTAACCCTTGCAGTGCAGTTAACCCTTGCAGTGCAGGGCTGTGTGATTAACCCTTGCAGTGCAGTTAACCCTTGCAGTGCAGGGCTGTGTGATTAACCCTTGCAGTGCAGTTAACCCTTGCAGTGCAGGGCTGTGCGATTAACCCTTGCAGTGCAGGGCTGTGCAGTTAACCCTTGCAGTGCAGGGCTGTGCAGTTAACCCTTGCAGTGCTGGGCTGTGCGATTAACCCTTGCAGTGCAGGGCTGTGCAGTTAACCCTTGCAGTGCAGGGCTGTGTGATTAACCCTTGCAGTGCAGTTAACCCTTGCAGTGCAGGGGCTGTGTGATTAACCCTTGCAGTGCAGGGCTGTACAGTTAACACTTGCAGTGCAGGGCTGTGCGATTAACCCTTGCAGTGCAGGGCTGTGCAGTTAACCCTTGCAGTGCAGGGCTGTGTGATTAACCCTTGCAGTGCAGTTAACCCTTGCAGTGCAGGGCTGTGTGATTAACCCTTGCAGTGCAGGGCTGTGTGATTAACCCTTGCAGTGCAGGGCTGTGTGATTAACCCTTGCAGTGCAGTTAACCCTTGCAGTGCAGGGGCTGTGTGATTAACCCTTGCAGTGCAGGGCTGTGCAGTTAACCCTTGCAGTGCAGGGCTCTGTGATTAACCCTTGCAGTGCAGGGCTCTGTGATTAACCCTTGCAGTGCAGGGCTCTGTGATTAACCCTTGCAGTGCAGTTAACCCTTGCAGTGCAGGGGCTGTGTGATTAACCCTTGCAGTGCAGGGCTGTGCAGTTAACCCTTGCAGTGCAGGGCTGTGTGATTAACCCTTGCAGTGCAGTTAACCCTTGCAGTGCAGGGGCTGTGTGATTAACCCTTGCAGTGCAGGGCTGTGCAGTTAACCCTTGCAGTGCAGGGCTCTGTGATTAACCCTTGCAGTGCAGGGCTCTGTGATTAACCCTTGCAGTGCAGGGCTCTGTGATTAACCCTTGCAGTGCAGTTAACCCTTGCAGTGCAGGGGCTGTGTGATTAACCCTTGCAGTGCAGGGCTGTGCAGTTAACCCTTGCAGTGCAGGGCTGTGTGATTAACCCTTGCAGTGCAGTTAACCCTTGCAGTGCAGGGGCTGTGTGATTAACCCTTGCAGTGCAGGGCTGTGCAGTTAACCCTTGCAGTGCAGGGCTCTGTGATTAACCCTTGCAGTGCAGGGCTGTGTGATTAACCCTTGCAGTGCAGGGCTGTGCAGTTAACCCTTGCAGTGCAGGGCTCTGTGATTAACCCTTGCAGTGCAGGGCTCTGTGATTAACCCTTGCAGTGCAGGGCTGTGCAGTTAACCCTTGCAGTGCAGGGCTGTGCGGTTAACCCTTGCAGTGCAGGGCTGTGCAGTTAACCCTTGCAGTGTAGTTAACCCTTGCAGTGCAGGGCTGTGCAGTTAACCCTTGCAGGGAGTGGAGGCCAGCCTGCTGAGGTATTTTACTGTCTCCCTCCAGGCGGGCCTGCTCCATATGGCAGGACAATGAGAGGGTTAATGACAGGAGGGACCATAACCACCGCCCGGGAAGGTGTACACAGGCCGCTCACCGTCATGTGCCCAGCTCTCCATCTTCCACTCACCCGGAATCCATTTGGTCTTCATTTCCCTCCTCCTCCATCCACAGAGCAGGGTTAGTGCGCGCTCCCGGGAATGGAGAGAGCGCGTGCCCGCTATCTGAGCGCCTGGAACGCGCATTGATATCTCCCCCCCCTCCCCCAGCAGCAGCCAGGCCGGGCGCGTGCACGAACCCCAGGATTACCCCGTGCGCGTAACCGTCATCATACAGAGCCAAGTACACAGCCATGTCCATAATAACACACACACACAGCCAAGTACACAGCCATGTCCATAATAACACACACACAGAGCCAAGTACACAGCCATGTCCATAATAACACACACACACAGAGCCAAGTACACAGCCATGTCCATAATAACACACACACAGAGCCAAGTACACAGCCATGTCCATAATAACACACACACAGAGCCAAGTACACAGCCATGTCCATAATAACACACACACACAGAGCCAAGTACACAGCCATGTCCATAAACACACACACACAGAGCCAAGTACACAGCCATGTCCATAATAACACACACACAGAGCCAAGTACACAGCCATGTCCATAATAACACACACACAGAGCCAGGTACACAGCCATGTCCATAATAACACACACACACACACACACACACACACACAGCCAAGTACACAGCCAAGTACACAGCCATGTCCATAATAACACACACACACAGCCAAGTACACAGCCATGTCCATAATAACACACACACACACACAGAGCCAAGTACACAGCCATGTCCATAATAAACACACAGAGCCGAGTACACAGCCATGTCCATAATAACACACACACAGAGCCGAGTACACAGCCATGTCCATAATAACACACACAGAGCCAAGTACACAGCCATGTCCATAATAACACACACACACACAGAGCCGAGTACACAGCCATGTCCATAATAACACACACACAGAGCCAAGTACACAGCCATGTCCATAATAACACACACACAGAGCCGAGTATACAGCCATGTCCATAATAACACACACACACAGCCAAGTACACAGCCATGTCCATAATAACACACACACACACACAGAGCCAAGTACACAGCCATGTCCATAATAACACACACACAGAGCCAGGTACACAGCCATGTCCATAATAACACACACACAGAGCCAGGTACACAGCCATGTCCATAATAACACACACACACAGAGCCAAGTACACAGCCATGTCCATAATAACACACACACAGAGCCGAGTACACAGCCATGTCCATAATAACACACACACAGAGCCGAGTACACAGCCATGTCCATAATAACACACACACAGAGCAGAGTACACAGCCATGTCCATAATAACACACACACAGAGCAGAGTACACAGCCATGTCCATAATAACACACACACAGAGCAGAGTACACAGCCATGTCCATAATAACACACAGAGCCAAGTACACAGCCATGTCCATAATAACAAACACACAGAGCCGAGTACACAGCCATGTCCATAATAACACACACAGAGCCAAGTACACAGCCATGTCCATAATAACACACACACACACAGAGCCGAGTACACAGCCATGTCCATAATAACACACACACAGAGCCAAGTACACAGCCATCCATAATAACACACACACACAGAGCCTAGCACACAGCAACCACACAACACACACAGTACAAGTACACAGCCATGTCCATAATAACACACACACAATAATACTGGCACACAGCCATGTCCATAATAACACACACACAGAGCCAAGTACACAGCCATGTCCATAATAACACACACACACAGCCAAGTACACAGCCATGTCCATAATAACACACACACAGAGCCAAGTACACAGCCATGTCCATAATAACACACACACAGAGCCAAGTACACAGCCATGTCCATAATAACACACACACAGAGCAGAGTACACAGCCATGTCCATAATAACACACACACAGAGCCAAGTACACAGCCATGTCCATAATAACACACACACAGAGCCAAGTACACAGCCATGTCCATAATAACACACACACAGAGCCGAGTATACAGCCATGTCCATAATAACACACACACACAGCCAAGTACACAGCCATGTCCATAATAACACACACACACACACAGAGCCAAGTACACAGCCATGTCCATAATAACACACACACAGAGCCAAGTACACAGCCATGTCCATAATAACACACACACAGAGCCAAGTACACAGCCATGTCCATAATAACACACACACAGAGCCAAGTACACAGCCATGTCCATAATAACACACACACACACAGCCAAGTACACAGCCATGTCCGTAATAACACACACACAGCCAAGTACACAGCCATGTCCGTAATAACACACACACACAGCCAAGTACACAGCCATGTCCGTAATAACACACACACACAGCCAAGTACACAGCCATGTCCAGACAACACACACACACAGCCAGCACACAGCCATGTCCAGACACACACACACAGCCAAGCACACACAGCCACAAACCAGACACCATCACACACACACACAGCCAAGTACACAGCCATGTCCGTAATAACACACACACACAGCCAAGTACACAGCCATGTCCATAATAACACACACACAGAGCCAAGTACACAGCCATGTCCATAATAACACACACACAGAGCCAAGTACACAGCCATGTCCATAATAACACACACACAGAGCCAAGTACACAGCCATGTCCATAATAACACACACACAGAGCCGAGTATACAGCCATGTCCATAATAACACACACACACAGCCAAGTACACAGCCATGTCCATAATAACACACACACACACACAGAGCCAAGTACACAGCCATGTCCATAATAACACACACACAGAGCCAAGTACACAGCCATGTCCATAATAACACACACACAGAGCCAAGTACACAGCCATGTCCATAATAACACACACACAGAGCCAAGTACACAGCCATGTCCATAATAACACACACACACAGCCAAGTACACAGCCATGTCCGTAATAACACACACACACAGCCAAGTACACAGCCATGTCCATAATAACACACACACACAGCCAAGTACACAGCCATGTCCATAATAACACACACACACAGCCAAGTACACAGCCATGTCCGTAATAACACACACACACAGCCAAGTACACAGCCATGTCCATAATAACACACACACACAGCCAAGTACACAGCCATGTCCATAATAACACACACACAGAGCCAAGTACACAGCCATGTCCATAATAACACACACACACACACACAGAGCCGAGTACACAGCCATGTCCATAATAACACACACACACACACAGCCAAGTACACAGCCATGTCCATAATAACACACACACAGAGCCGAGTACACAGCCATGTCCATAATAACACACACACAGAGCCGAGTACACAGCCATGTCCATAATAACACACACACACACAGAGCAGAGTACACAGCCATGTCCATAATAACACACAGAGCCAAGTACACAGCCATGTCCATAATAACACACACAGAGCCGAGTACACAGCCATGTCCATAATAACAGCACACTGACACATTAATCCATAACCAAGTGCTTGCATGGTATTTATTGACAGCCAATAAATCACTACATTGATGGTGTGTGCCCTGCGTCTATGAGTTTGGTTTTAGGTGTTGAATAACACAAAGTGTGTTTGCTAAATTACAAGCATAGAAGAATGAAAAAGTTATTTTCAAGGTAGCCTGGTATATTACAATAAATTAAAAAGAAAAATCTTCAACAATGGCAATCACTTACTTTATGAAGGAATTTAGATTGCCAGAAACACACGCTGACTTTTTGTTACCCTTAAAACCAATACATGTCATAATGTCAGTTAATGTGCTAACATTCCACACAGCAAGATGCATCCTTGTCTCTATTATTATGTTGTTAACAGAATATTGTGAACAGCGATTACGGAGACAAAAGAAAGATCACTTCTAAACATCTATACATGAGGTGGACTAAACAAAGACAGGGAATAGAGACTTAAGGCCAAAGCATTGTCCTTGAATTGCTATGAACATTATAAGAGATAAAGTTTAAGGGTACATTAGCCAGCCCCCAAACAGGAGAGTAATTTTCCCTTGCTTTCATACATAGGTAGGTCTACCTTTTATTTATATAGTGCTCGTTCAGTCCATTGTATCAAATATTCGCTCAAACATTAATGGTCTAACTGCATTCTGTCCTCAACCCATATTGTGTTTTGTTAGGTATCAACCGCATGTAAATAGTTTGACGTTACTACCAAATGCAGATGGGTGAAGCAACCCCCGCAGATGGAATGTTAAGTGAAATGTGTCAAGTTATCATGTCTATGAATTGATTATACCATTAGAAGTACTATAAGCACCTCTTGAACCTGGCTAGCTTACTTTTCAGCTTGCTTAATGTGTAAGATGTTGTCTGCAAGAGGTCTCGTGTTTAACATTTTTCTGGATTCTTGAATCACTAATTGTGTTTTTGTTTGCTTACCCTGAATATTAATATGAACTTTTTTGTATAATCCTTAACACTTGAAACTAACCAAGATATAATTATTTCTTATTACGGTATTGTTCTTGTAATAATGAAATATAGCTATTTTTTAAAAAAATGGTTGTATGGACCATAGTGTGCCCGGTATCGGTCAGAAACTCAAAATTAGGTCATAAAATCATTCCTCCCTCTGTAACACTTGCCAAATATTCCACTTTTGCAGCACCAATACCTATGACATAGGTAGCAACAGTCCAAAATTTGCAGGGATAGTCCTGCATTTTGGGGTACTGTCTCAGCACAAATAGTTCCTTGGGACCTGTCCCACATTTTGAAATCTGCTGGCAGATTTTAAAAAGCAGGAGGGAGCTATGTATTAGGGCTAGGGGGTCAGAGTGCTTCAGCAGTGCTCCGTGTATGGTCTGCCTTGGGGGCGCAGGCGGCTCTTTCGGGTGGTCCCGCTCCTTTGACGGACAGATCCACCTCTTGTACATTGCCTGTTGCAGTACCAGAAGGTGGGCAGGTAACATTGGTATTTTGCCACTAATGCCCTTGTATTAATAACCCCATTTCCTCAATGTTTTATTTGCCTTTCTGGTTTTCTTTAGTAAAAGGGTGTCCTACACAAACCCATTAAATCATCAAATGATTTGAATCATTGTACATGTAACAAATCATCCCCATA